CGAATGGGTAATGCAACATCGCACAATCACACCTTCCCCACTCTGCAGACTCCTATTTTAAGAAACATAGCACCTCGTGACAACCTTGTACTATAGGACAGGTGCAAATACGAAATGTACATCCTAATGTTACGGGTGCTTTCATGACAAACTTGCACTAGGACAGGGACCGGCAACCCGTCGCTCTGCAGCCGCATGCGGCTCTCTTTAAGGATCGCTTCATGACGTTATTTATTAAGGACCGCGTCTCGTAGTCTCGTGCATTGCGGGACTTGACATATTCATTCTAGATTTGAAGCTTTTGTGACTGCAAGGATTCATACTCTTAGGTTTTTTCGGTAAAGTCACGCGACTTTACCGAAAAAACCTAAGAGTTTGACACGTTGAGTTTTTATTACCGAATTCGAAACAAACAAAAACATCTCCTCCCGTTGCTGTTTGCCGACCCCTGCACTAGGACGCTTGTGCGAGTTACCAAAAATCTAATTGCGTCAGAACTATGTGACGACGGCATCTTTCGGCACAGTCCGGCTTGACTACTTCTTTTTTTTGCTCTCCTTCTTCAGCTTCTTGCCCTGGAGGTGGCGGCTCGCGCGAGGTGGCTCAGCCTCAGCAGGAGTTGAGGAGCCCGGCGGGGCATGTCCCTGCTCCGCCGTCGCCGCCGCCGCCTTATCAGGCAGCATTACGACGGCCAGAATGCACAGCAGCTGGAACACGGCGCCCAGGAAGAGGCCGTGGTTCAGCAGTCGCTCAAAGAGGCTCAGCTCCGGGACGTTTGGGGCCAACAGCTCACCGATGGTGGCCATTGTCACGGTGGTAAATGGTAGCTGAGGAAGAGAGGATTGTTCAAGATGCTGCGCCGGTTGGGTGGAAGGAATCGATCTGTAGCCCTTGTGATGTTCTGCAAGGTCACCTGGGTTTGTCTTTATTCGCCTGTCATAAAAAGGAGAGGCAACATTTAACCAAAAAATTGCACGTTTTAAGACAAACTTCTCCTTTTCTGTTGCCCACACAATGCACGAACTTGATACGCGGTGGTTTGGCTGCTGCAGCTCCTTACGATTAAAATGTCCCCCCCTTTATTACTGCTAATCCTACTTCCTCCCTTTATCACTGCTCATCCTACATAATACACTAGCATAATATGACTTTGAGACCCCCCCACCACCTACACATTCCACAAGGAGTGACTAATCCCATATCTGCATTTTCCATCAATATGCTTAATTCCGGTGTTGATATGTAAACTCCTTTGTCAAGGCGCTCTCCTCCCCCGACCCAGCTTAAATATACGCTGCCAAGTTTGGCGATGTTCATTGGGACGCTGTCTTTCCGACAGATCTGTTTCTTCACCTGAGGACGGCTGCTTGTGTTGTGGCCGAAACGTCGTGAGAATTTTTATTTTATTATATTTTATTTTTATCATTTTATTATTTCCCTTCTACGTGACTTTACCGAAAGAACCAAGAAGATTTAGAAAGTAACAAGCACGAAAGAGACAACTGCAAATAGTCCCACAAAATGCAACGTTGGTTCGACAGAAGTGATTAAGTGTCAAATATTTTAAAGTAAATGTTTAAAAAAAATGAAACAAGCTTTTCATTCGTCTTGGTATCGATGGCCCAATTTCAATTATAGGTTAAAGAAACACCGTGGCGTACCGTAGTTTGGGGAAATATTTTATTTCTCCACGTCTCTCTCAAGGCAATCTCTCTTTGTGTCACTGTGTATGTATACTCTCCGTGTTGCTGTGAAAGGCTTCATGAATGTATCTGAATTGTATCTGTATCTGTCTATATGTCAACATCTTTCCATGCGTACGTGTCTTCCTAATATTGTCTCGGTGTCTTTGATGTTTCCACGTCTTTGTTTCTGCTTGTGTGCCCATGCCTCTACGTCTGTCTATCTCCGCCTTAGTCCATTGGCCAGAGCAGACATTGACACCACGTAACCTCGAAAAGTTACAGTTATACAGACTTATTTATATAGCTAATAAGGGTAAATTATATAATATTCTTGGTTCTTTCGGTAAAGTCGCGTAGAAGGGAAATAATAAGACATAAAAAACAATAAAATGCTCACGACGTTTCGACTGCAACACAAGCAATCATCATCCGGTGTGAAATCCACAGCAAGAAATTTTTTTTAAAGTGGCGTTTTTTTCCTTCAAATTTTCTTGCTGTGGATTTCACACCTCATGATGATTGCTTGTGTTGCAGTCTAAAGGTCGTGAGAATTGTATTGTTTTATATGTTTTATTATTTCCCTTCTATATGAGTCCCTGCAGTCACGAAAGCTTTAACTCAAAAGGGTAAATTACTTGATAACGCACACACATTTCAAACGGTTATCACGTACTCTTTGGTTCTTTCGGTAAAGTCACGTTGGTATAAAATAAAACATCACGTAATTCACTATTATTGCCCACAAATAAATTGGAGCCACTAAAATGATGCAAACGCAGGTCAGACGTCTGTCTGGACTCACGGGATCCGTAATCTTTGGTTCTTTCGGTAAATTCACGTAGAAGGGCAATAATAAAAAATAAACATAATAAGAATTGGATTTTATTGTTTTATTATATTTATTTTATTATTTTAATTAAACATACGAATTGTATTTTAATGTTAAATTTTTATTATTTTATTATTTCCCTTATACGTGACTTTACCGAAAGAACCAAGAAGATGAATCCCTGCAGTCACGAAAACTTTAAATCAATAATCACGATGTCCTCTCTATTGGGAGCGGTGGCGCAACGGTTAGCGCGCTCGCTACGCTACGAACCTGACGGACCCCGAGTTCGATTCTCGCTCACGGCCAACACCGCTGACGATCCTATAAACCGCTCCTCCGCCCCTAGGTAGACTCGGCCTCAATTGAGTATCTGGCGCGACGCGTAAACATCCCCACGAGCGAGACAAAGTTGGGGCCGGGCGTGATTGTGGTTACCCACCCCGACCCTCTCGTGTGCCGTGCCGACCTTCGCAGACACCTACCCTCTAACAGCACTTGCCCCAACAGTTCCTCGAAGGCTACCCGGGGGATCTTTGCCTCTTGATTTGTGCCACAACCCACAGATTTACTCCCGGGCCTCCGTGTCACCCGGGAGGGCCGCGCAGAATCTCCCGCAAATTGCCGAACGCCCTCGATTGATAACAGCTGCGTGGATCACCGTCTGCGTAGTAGGAGGAGGTGGTGATGATGATGGTGGGAAGACTCTTCTCTGTGATGGCGAAGAGAAGGAGAGGAAAGGAGAGAGAGGAGCGGGAGAGGACATGAAAAGCAGCACCCTCGGCACTGTACCAAGACCAGCTGATGACCGATTCCGATTCCTGGTTAATCGTGGATCGATCCAGCCACGCGATGCGATTCACCGTAATTTTTTTAAATATATGAATCGATAATTTTTTATTTTAAACGATTCCTGTCTAGTTCGTGCTATTTTAGATTTTTATTTTGGGTTTCATTCCATTTGCCCGTGTGTGACGTTAGCATGGAATTGGCACGTAGAGTTGTCGACTGTATCGCATGCTAGTAATCGATTACTATAATCGATGTAAGTGAATCGTCAGCGTCATTGTCGTTGTTAAGAGATTATTACTTTAAAACTTCACGATTGTTTAAGGGCTCGTTAACTACCCTGGTGGTTACTTGCCACGTTACTACGTCTCGCAATAAATAATCACCTTAAACATTAATCGGTTCTGTCCTGCCTATTCAAATCTAGTTCGGTATTTACAGATCCAATAATTCGATTCGGTACGTGTCTATGTTGTATTCCCCTATATGCTCCGAATCAATTAATTTTTTCTCCCCTTGAATAAAAAATGCTCATATTTAAACGCGCGTGTGTAGAACTTGCATCAGTTGTGAATAAAATACTGGCGCACGCACGATTTGTTAGCGACAATCGTGAGTGCGTGGAAACATCGATTTTAATCGATAGGTGATACCGATCGCATACCTGTCAACCCATTATCAGTGCTGCCTATCATCACCCCGTGCCCTTATACATCTCAACGTTCATCCTTTAAGTTCAAGTTCATGTATTAGGTATAGCCCTGTGAGCCATTCGGCTCTTGAATCGGGTGCAACCGCAACAAACAAAAAAACAAAAACATGAACAAAAAAACATCTTAAAGTGAATATGTGACTAAGTGCAAACAGAAAATCCAAGAAAAGACAGCAAAATATTGCAGAAAAAAACACCGTACAACAACGCTGTGTGCAATAATACCAGTGGGATGCAAGTCAAACAACAACAACCATAAGACAACTTAGATTAAGGCCATCAGTCTTACTCCGTACTACAACAAACAAACATGGCTAAACCAAACTACAAAGTCCCATTACAAGGGAGAAACACAAATAGACAATGTTGTTGTTATTGTTACCCGTATTGAAACGGCTGTACGCAGTATGAACGTGAACAACTCAATTTTCCTGTACAAGAATACGGGATAAATCGTATGGGTTGACAGCTTTGCTCTATCTATGGGTCTCTGTATCTATGTGGGTCTCTGTGGGTATCTATGTATCTATAGGTCTCTATCCATCTCTATGGATCTCGATGGGTCTCTGTCTATAATTAATCATACCTGTCAACCCCTTATCAGTGCCCTACCTTATTACAGACCAATTCAGACCTTCTTGGTATGGACCTGAAAACTAAATTTTCCTGTACAATAATACGGGGTAAACCGTATGGGTTAACAGCTATGGCATTGTATCGATTATTTGATTGACATGCGTGCATGGCGGTTGCCATGGTTACTTTTCTCGCAGTTCCACTGACCCAGACTCCACTAAACACGAAAAAAAAATTGGGAATCACAAATTTTTACTAAATTACACATTGCATCTCTCTTTCAGTCTCATTTGTTTCACAATTGCCCCGTTTGCCACATTATAATTACTGTCCTGCAGTCGTAGTAATACTGTCAATACTCCACTGATTTGGCAATACCTTTCAAATGATGTGTATGCTCCTAGCAATGTCCAGTAATACGTTCCCATACACTCAATATTCATTTTCGCGTGATTTATAACAATAGAGTATTTGAATCAACAGCCCGCGGAAGCGGATATCACAGAACTACAACCTGGGGTCCCTTCAATTGACCTCATACCATGTGTCTCTCCTCCAGAGCTGAGTGGTTTGGAACATCAATCATAACTTAATACTTTACCAATAACAGACATAGCGTATGGGTCTGTGGTTTTTTTATTTTTGAACACACTTACTGAGCACAGGCCCAAGGTCACGAAACATCGAGCAGTCATCAACAAACGGCACGATACAAAGTTGTGATAGTGTAAGAGTTAACATGTCTATTGATTTGAGCCAAAGTTATACGAACGTGACCTGCAGTGTGGTGGGTGAGTGTCGTTGTGACCTCAGGGAGCGGTAGTGTAGCGGTCAGCTCGCTGGTTCGATTCTCGCTAACGGTCGACACCGGTGACGATTATCCCCTAGGTCGACTCAGCTTCAAATCAGTGCCCGGTGCGGTGTGTAAGCATCGCCACTGGGGAGACAAAGGCGGCCGGGCGTGGTGCTGGCCACCGACCCCCTCGTGTGCCACAATGCCAGCCTTCATAGGCGCTCGCTCACAACACTTGCCCCAACAGTCTATTAAGGCTATACGGGGGATCTTTGTTTTTACTTTGTTGTTGTGACCTGCAGTGTGATGAGTGAGTGGGGGTGTTGTTGTGACCAGCAGTGTGGTGAGTGTGTGTTGTTGTGACCTGCTGTGTGGTGAGTGGTTGTGTGTGGTGAGTGTTGTTGTGACCTGCAGTGTGGTGAGTTGTTGTGTGTGTGTTGTTGTGATCTGCTGTGTGGTGAGTGGTTGTGTGTGTGTTGTTGTGACCTGCAGTGTGGTGAGTGAGTGCGTGTGCTGTTGAGTCCTGTGGTGTGGTGAGTGGTTGTGTGTGGTGAGTGTTGTTGTGACCTGCAGTATGGTGAGTGGTTGTGTGTGTTGTTGTGCCCTGCTGTGTAGTGAGTGGTTGTGAGTGTGTTGTTGTGACCTGCAGTATGGTGAATGGTTGTGTGTGTTGTTGTGACCTGCAGCGTGATGTTTGAACACAATCGCATGGGACAAAACAGTCAGTAGACCGAGTCCTCAACCATGGGTTACGGATTCAACGCGTGAAGTTCACGGGGGAATAGTAACCATGGCGTGAGCGAGTCTGGCTTTGTGTTGTAGATCTGGGTGCTCCTTAGGGCAGGCTCCATCGGTTGGGCTGCTGCTGTAGGAGGCCGCATCCAACAGCGAACAGAGCAAGGGACACGGCACGCAGTACGCACGTGAGAGTCAGGTAAATCCACCTAAGACACAAAAACGCCATCGTCGTTATCAAAATCGCCGGCATCATCATCATCATCATCCGTCGCAATCACAACATCACCACCACCAGCACATCGAACATAATTTCCCGTGCCAGAGTAAAAAAAAAAAGTAAATAAACGCTTTATTTGTACAAATGTTAACATTGCAAAAATAGCATAAAATAGTAATATATCATTATTTTAGTAACATAAGTATAGCATGAAAATAAACTAGTGTATAATACTGGAGTATAATGTTTCTTTAAGTTTAGTTTGATTTGAAATGTTTATTTTGTTCAATCAGGAGACCGAGATAGACTCATTTGTCTCAATCAAGAGATAATCGGAATCAGATTATTTATATTGGAGGAATCCGATGAGCTATAAATCCCTTTTTTACAGATGTCCAGTAGGGGCGGTCATAACGTTAAAACAACAAACAATTCGAAAAACAGATAGGTGTGCAAAGTATAAATAAATGACTTTAAAAAATATGCAAATTTAACTAAAGATTTTTTATCTTACCAGATAAAGCCCATTGAGCTATTAGCTTCTCTTTTAGAAGCGACCTGGCCACAAATGATAGCTCAACGAAGTGGCTTATCATGTGGAAATGTACAGCAGCAAATTAATCTAAATCTAAGCAATCAAGATAATACTCAAGACCTTAGCCGGGGACCTGAACCCAGATTGAGAGGTTCATAACACGGCACGCCAGAGGTCGCAAACGGGTTTTGATTCCTTACCCGTACCCGGCCGCACCAGGGTCGCAAACGGGTACCCATACCTGTACCCGGCCGTACCCGTACCCGTACCCGGCCGCACCAGGGTCGCAAACGGGTACCCGTACCGGTACGGGTAGCCGGGTATCGGGTAGGGTACGGGTATCGGGTACCCGGTTGCGACCTCTGCTGCACGCTAACTACTGCTACCGCTGCTGCTTTCTCCCGAGTTGCTGGCAGCGTGCGGGGCTTCCTCACCGGAAGGCGTCCGTGTCGTAGAACTGGCACACGCCGCTGGAACCACACGTGCCGAGCCCCCACTTGGTGCACGAGGAGTCGATGGCGACCCCGTAGAGGATCGGCGCGGGGATTCCGGCTGAGCAGCATCGGAGAGAAGCCAAACGCCAAAGGTCGCACGCACGCACGCAGCGGTTAGCGGCGTAAACATCCCCAGTGATTTGTCAACTATAAGGATTCTTAACGTCGCATGCTTTGCAAAGTGCCTCCGATTAGTACGGTTGGCTACGTACGGTGCGAAAGAAGTTCAACATACATACATAGTGTGGGTAGGAAATCGATGTTTTGTCAATAGCGATACAATGATTCATCACCATTCCCCCGATCCCAGGTGAGTCGACAAATCGCGTGTGTCAAACTCACTGTTAAAAATAATGAGATTTAGCCAGGAAAGCCTCACTGAGTCTCAACATTTTCAGAAAGGTCCTGCTATATTGGGATGTTTGACCGTGAATACCGTTAACGAGAATTTGGCTTCGTTGTGGGCGGAAAGCTGAGAACCTTTCTAAAACCCACCACGCACACGAGGGGGTGACGACTCAGCAGCAGAGGTCGCAAACGGGGTTTGATTCCTTACCCGTACCCGTACCCGGCCGCACCAGGGTCGCAAACGGGTACCCGTACCCGGCCGTACCCGTACCCTACCCGTACCCGGCCGGGTACGAGTAAGGTACGGGTATCGGGTACCTGATTGCGACCTCTGGGATGAAGCCATGTTGCAGGCGCGGGTGAGTTGATTCTAGGAACTTGAATTGTGAGAAGAGACAAGACGTTGGGAAATGAGTGACAAACAGTTACTCACCAGTGACTCACGGTCTACCCGTACCCGTACCCGGCCGCACCAGGGTCGCAAATGGCTACCCGTACCCGGCCGGGTACGAGTAGCCGGGTATCGGGTAGGGTACGGGTATCGGGTACCCGGTTGCGACCTCTGCTCAGCAGAGATCATCTCCTGGCCACAACCTCGTGGGCTCATGCCTCCAACGCTTGGCAACCACTGGTGGTCTACCATCAGATGACCTCCAATCGAAGTGCTGACCAGCCTGAAAGCCTCTTAAGCTCCTGAGCTTCGATGTAGATTAGGGGGCATTCAGGGTGATGTGGCTGCAGGACGAGGGTAATCATAATATAGGTTGTTTATTTATTTAACTCGTAGGCTTTTGCAACCAATATCATCCGTAATACGGGTGTTTTTTTTGGGTTAGGTCGCGTAAATATAGAAATGTGTCGTTAAACCCGCCATCACCCGACACAGCCAACTAGTAAGGTTTGTCACGTAAACAGAACGTGGCCAATTCGTCACGAGTACAGCACACCGGTGTGTTGGAGAGCCAAGCCACAACGATTACAATCTGAGTACGACGTTATCCCCCCCCCCTCCCCACTTCGCGCAAGAAGAACACACAAGTGTTGTCATCACATCTACTCCTCTATTTATGGAACGAAACATGACTCCACAAATCTGGCTGTCGCCTGATGAAGCTAGTTGCAATTACTGGCGAAACGTCGTACTCAAGATTGTAAATATTGTGCATTGGCTCTCCAACACACGGATGTGCTGTACTAGTAACGAATTGGCACGTTCTGTTGACGTGACAAACCTTACTAATTGGCTGTGTCGGGTGGTGGCGGGTTTAACGACACATTTATATATTTACCTGATCTAACCCCAAAAAATCTGTATTGTGGATATTTATTTATACTGGAGGAATCCAATAACCTTCAAAGCTCTTTTTTGACAGATGCCCAGTAGGGGCACCGGGTCACAACGTGACACAAACAAACGATACAAAAACACTATAGGCGTGCGAGGTATGGGAAAGGTAAACAAATCACAACAAAATAACAAATAAAACTTGTTTTTTTATCTTACCAGGTAAAGCCCTCTGAGCCGTCGGCTTCTTTCGCAGAAGTGACCTGGCCACGAATAATACCCCAACGAAGTGGCTTATCACGTGGGATATAATGCAGCTTCTATACCGATGAGGGTCACTTCAGTGTGATGTGGTTGCAGGACGATGGTGAAGGTGCCACTCACCCAAGGTACGTGTAACCATGGTCTGCAGCCCCAGTGCAAACGACTTCAGCTCGCTACTCACGCTCCTGAGAAAACGATAGACGGCACAACGTGGCTTTTATGCAGCGGCGTTCCGAGGTGGTCTACAATAAAAGTCGCAAAGCCGCGTTTCGATCAATCGAGATAAAAAAATCTTCATCATCATAATCCACTGCGAATTCAAACTTAAAACAACGGGTCATTGAGTGAACGACCATCTACCGAACTCATTCCACAGAAAACACCTCTGAAATTCAGTTCGCATCCCCCAAAGATCTTGACTCGACTGGATATCAAATCTGAAATTCATCATGGAAATCCTGCTATTCCTATTCCCCCCCCTCCCCGTATGCTCCCCCCTTTAATAATAATAATAAATGATAATTTCAACGTATAATGTGCCGCACAGTATTCGCTCACTCAAGAAGCGAGAGAGTACTTGGAGCCATGAGGGACCGCAGGAAGAAAGCCAGGCGATCAGCTGGCACCGCCCAAGCTCTGCGGTCCTCTATATATTACTGGACATCTGTGAAAAAGAGCTTCATAGCTCATTGGATTCCTTCAATCTAAATAAAGATCCTGATATTGACGTATAATCGGCCAATTGATGAGTGCTTACATGTGGATGGAATCTGGAGCACCCGGAGAAAACCCACACGTGCGAGGGAGCAACGCTCTATCCCACACAGATGGAAACACGTGGGGGGGGGGGGGGTCTACATTTCTGCTGTAGCGCCTTCTCCTGGCAGGCCAGGGTACGCCTCCTCCTTGACACCCACAGGGAAGGCAGTCGCACAACGTTTGTGCGGCGGTCCTACCAACCCCTTGCCTCCACTGTGCTGGATTCCAGGCGTGCGCCACCGCCGCCGCCGCCCGGCTACAACCCGCGGCTACACTAGAAGTGCCGCACGGATCCCGCACCGGAGAAATACGAAGTAGGCCGGCGTGGAGCCCAGAGCGTAGATGAACGACGACGCCACCGTGACGCCCAGGAACAGGTGGAAGCTGCGGTCGCAAGAGGCGGTGCGAGCGCACAGCCCAAGCGTGGCCCGTCCTCCGATGCCACCAACACACACGCAGTCCGTGAATACCTACCAGCGGGGTACACGCAACTCGGATGTACGAAGTGCTCCCTTCCTCCAGATCCACAGGTTTCGCCACAACTCACGTGGAAAAAAAAAGAGAATCACGCAAATTTGGAATGGACCGCACGTATTTTCGTTTGCTTCTGAGAAAAATTAAACGACTTGGACACAACGCGATGAATGTATTTAGGGAAAACACATTTGTTAATAACGCGGATCCAACCTGGATAGAACCATACCTGATTTAAAGCTTTCGTGACTGCAGGGATTCATATTCTTGGTTCTTTCGGTAAAGTCACGTAGAAGGGAAAGAATATTTTATTTTATTTTTTTATTTCCCTTCTACGTGAGGGAAATAATACAAATATATTTTTTATTTTATTATTTCCCTTCTATGTGACTTAACCGAAAGAACCAAGAGTATAACCACACCTGTCAACCCCTTATCAGTGCCCTACCTTGTTACAGACCAATTCAGACCTTATTGGTCATCCCGTGCCCCTTATACATCTCAACGTTCATCCTACAAAGTCCCATCAGAATCGAGAAACACAAACAAATAGACACAAATTATGATTTTTTTTTTGCCCGTATTGAAACGGCCGTATGCCGTATGGACCTGAAAACTCACTTTCCCTGTCCAATAAAACGGGTAAACACTATGGGTTGACAGGCATGATACAACGCGATCGAATGAACAGAACTACATCGCGTGAGTAGGAATAAGCGGTTGTACGGCTGCCTCGGCACAGCAGCGCAAAAGGCGGGATGCTGCTGGATGCTTCCAGATGCTACCTACACGCCTCAGTCTTTGTTCAGCCTGCGTACGCATCTCAGGTGTTATCACGAACTGTGCTTTACCCTATATTATATATCATTTATTTATTATAACGCGATTTTTCCATAACACAACGTTCTTCAGGAATTCTAGATTTTAAGCTTTCGTGACTGCAAGGATTCATATTCTTAGGTTTTTTCGGTAAAGTCACGTAGGTAAAAAAAAAATTAATAAAAGTAAAATAAAAGAAAAAGAAAATAAAGTAATATAATAAAATTAAATAATAATAAAAATTATTTTATTTTACTTTTATTATTATTTTTTTTACCTACGTGACTTTACCGAAAAAACCTAAGAATATGTTCTTCAGGAACACGACTACTACTGCCTTATAGGAGAACAGACTGTACATACGCACACGTGCACGCGTGCGTGCGTGTCCACCATGACGTACTGCACGTACGCACGCGCTCACCGGCGCCGTTCCGCCCTGGGTGGAGGTGCCGCCGACGGTGGCGTTACACCCGGCCAGGCACGGCGAGAGGTAGGTGAGGCCGTCCCAGCCGCACACGGGCTCCCACGCGTCCCCACGGCACTCGCACGCGCCGGGGCAGCCGGTGACCCGCGCTCCCGCGTGGCTAGCCAGCAGCGGCCTGCGGGAGTCAGAGATACGTAGGTGCCCCTCCCGACGGCATTCCCCAATATCCACACGGCATTCCCGAATCTTCACACGGCGATCTGTAACCTCCACACGGCATTCCCGAATCTTCACACGGAAATCTGTAACTTCCACGCGGCGGTTCCGTAATATCTACACGGCGTTCCCAAAAATCCACATCGCGTTCCTTGATACCCACGCAGCCGCGTCACGCGAGGGGTGCGCGTGGCGCTAAGCCGTCCGTCCGTGCGGGGGGGGGGGGCCTACGCGTGGGTCAGGCCGACGACGCTGGGGCCGTCGCAGCGCAGCGCGTAGAAGGCGAGCGTGAGGGCCCAGGCCACCGAGCCGGACGCCAGGGAGAGGCGAGCGGCCCCCAGGGGTCCCAGGGCCAGGCAGCGCATCAGCAGGCCACCCCCGAACATGCCCAGCGCCACCGAGGGTACGTTCACCGCCCCTGTGCAGTGGGAGGGGGGGCACAGTACAAGATCAATGGGCACGCATTATGAACGTTGATTTGTTAATCCCCCGCACCCCCACTTTGAGCAAGAAAAACACACAAGTGGGGTCACCACATCTACGCCTTTATATAAGGAACGAAACAGGTGGACTTCTCTACAAATCTGGCTGTCGCCTGATGAAGATGGTTGTAATTACTGGCGAAACGTCGTACTCAAGATTGTAAATATTGTGCATTGGCTCTCCAACACACGGATGTGCTGTACTAGTAACGAATTGGCACGTTCTGTTGACGTGACAAACCTTACTAATTGGCTGTGTCGGGTGGTGGCGGGTTTAACGACACATTTATATATTTACCTGATCTAACCCCAAAAAATCTGTATTGTGGATATTTATTTATACTGGAGGAATCCAATAACCTTCAAAGCTCTTTTTTGACAGATGCCCAGTAGGGGCACCGGGTCACAACGTGACACAAACAAACGATACAAAAACACTATAGGCGTGCGAGGTATGGGAAAGGTAAACAAATCACAACAAAATAACAAATAAAACTTGTTTTTTTATCTTACCAGGTAAAGCCCTCTGAGCCGTCGGCTTCTTTCGCAGAAGTGACCTGGCCACGAATAATACCCCAACGAAGTGGCTTATCACGTGGGATATAATGCAGCTTCTATACCGATGAGGGTCACTTCAGTGTGATGTGGTTGCAGGACGATGGTGAAGGTGCCACTCACCCAAGGTACGTGTAACCATGGTCTGCAGCCCCAGTGCAAACGACTTCAGCTCGCTACTCACGCTCCTGAGAAAACGATAGACGGCACAACGTGGCTTTTATGCAGCGGCGTTCCGAGGTGGTCTACAATAAAAGTCGCAAAGCCGCGTTTCGATCAATCGAGATAAAAAAATCTTCATCATCATAATCCACTGCGAATTCAAACTTAAAACAACGGGTCATTGAGTGAACGACCATCTACCGAACTCATTCCACAGAAAACACCTCTGAAATTCAGTTCGCATCCCCCAAAGATCTTGACTCGACTGGATATCAAATCTGAAATTCATCATGGAAATCCTGCTATTCCTATTCCCCCCCCTCCCCGTATGCTCCCCCCTTTAATAATAATAATAAATGATAATTTCAACGTATAATGTGCCGCACAGTATTCGCTCACTCAAGAAGCGAGAGAGTACTTGGAGCCATGAGGGACCGCAGGAAGAAAGCCAGGCGATCAGCTGGCACCGCCCAAGCTCTGCGGTCCTCTATATATTACTGGACATCTGTGAAAAAGAGCTTCATAGCTCATTGGATTCCTTCAATCTAAATAAAGATCCTGATATTGACGTATAATCGGCCAATTGATGAGTGCTTACATGTGGATGGAATCTGGAGCACCCGGAGAAAACCCACACGTGCGAGGGAGCAACGCTCTATCCCACACAGATGGAAACACGTGGGGGGGGGGGGGTCTACATTTCTGCTGTAGCGCCTTCTCCTGGCAGGCCAGGGTACGCCTCCTCCTTGACACCCACAGGGAAGGCAGTCGCACAACGTTTGTGCGGCGGTCCTACCAACCCCTTGCCTCCACTGTGCTGGATTCCAGGCGTGCGCCACCGCCGCCGCCGCCCGGCTACAACCCGCGGCTACACTAGAAGTGCCGCACGGATCCCGCACCGGAGAAATACGAAGTAGGCCGGCGTGGAGCCCAGAGCGTAGATGAACGACGACGCCACCGTGACGCCCAGGAACAGGTGGAAGCTGCGGTCGCAAGAGGCGGTGCGAGCGCACAGCCCAAGCGTGGCCCGTCCTCCGATGCCACCAACACACACGCAGTCCGTGAATACCTACCAGCGGGGTACACGCAACTCGGATGTACGAAGTGCTCCCTTCCTCCAGATCCACAGGTTTCGCCACAACTCACGTGGAAAAAAAAAGAGAATCACGCAAATTTGGAATGGACCGCACGTATTTTCGTTTGCTTCTGAGAAAAATTAAACGACTTGGACACAACGCGATGAATGTATTTAGGGAAAACACATTTGTTAATAACGCGGATCCAACCTGGATAGAACCATACCTGATTTAAAGCTTTCGTGACTGCAGGGATTCATATTCTTGGTTCTTTCGGTAAAGTCACGTAGAAGGGAAAGAATATTTTATTTTATTTTTTTATTTCCCTTCTACGTGAGGGAAATAATACAAATATATTTTTAATTTTATTATTTCCCTTCTATGTGACTTAACCGAAAGAACCAAGAGTATAACCACACCTGTCAACCCCTTATCAGTGCCCTACCTTGTTACAGACCAATTCAGACCTTATTGGTCATCCCGTGCCCCTTATACATCTCAACGTTCATCCTACAAAGTCCCATCAGAATCGAGAAACACAAACAAATAGACACAAATTATGATTTTTTTTTTGCCCGTATTGAAACGGCCGTATGCCGTATGGACCTGAAAACTCACTTTCCCTGTCCAATAAAACGGGTAAACACTATGGGTTGACAGGCATGATACAACGCGATCGAATGAACAGAACTACATCGCGTGAGTAGGAATAAGCGGTTGTACGGCTGCCTCGGCACAGCAGCGCAAAAGGCGGGATGCTGCTGGATGCTTCCAGATGCTACCTACACGCCTCAGTCTTTGTTCAGCCTGCGTACGCATCTCAGGTGTTATCACGAACTGTGCTTTACCCTATATTATATATCATTTATTTATTATAACGCGATTTTTCCATAACACAACGTTCTTCAGGAATTCTAGATTTTAAGCTTTCGTGACTGCAAGGATTCATATTCTTAGGTTTTTTCGGTAAAGTCACGTAGGTAAAAAAAAAATTAATAAAAGTAAAATAAAAGAAAAAGAAAATAAAGTAATATAATAAAATTAAATAATAATAAAAATTATTTTATTTTACTTTTATTATTATTTTTTTTACCTACGTGACTTTACCGAAAAAACCTAAGAATATGTTCTTCAGGAACACGACTACTACTGCCTTATAGGAGAACAGACTGTACATACGCACACGTGCACGCGTGCGTGCGTGTCCACCATGACGTACTGCACGTACGCACGCGCTCACCGGCGCCGTTCCGCCCTGGGTGGAGGTGCCGCCGACGGTGGCGTTACACCCGGCCAGGCACGGCGAGAGGTAGGTGAGGCCGTCCCAGCCGCACACGGGCTCCCACGCGTCCCCACGGCACTCGCACGCGCCGGGGCAGCCGGTGACCCGCGCTCCCGCGTGGCTAGCCAGCAGCGGCCTGCGGGAGTCAGAGATACGTAGGTGCCCCTCCCGACGGCATTCCCCAATATCCACACGGCATTCCCGAATCTTCACACGGCGATCTGTAACCTCCACACGGCATTCCCGAATCTTCACACGGAAATCTGTAACTTCCACGCGGCGGTTCCGTAATATCTACACGGCGTTCCCAAAAATCCACATCGCGTTCCTTGATACCCACGCAGCCGCGTCACGCGAGGGGTGCGCGTGGCGCTAAGCCGTCCGTCCGTGCGGGGGGGGGGGCCTACGCGTGGGTCAGGCCGACGACGCTGGGGCCGTCGCAGCGCAGCGCGTAGAAGGCGAGCGTGAGGGCCCAGGCCACCGAGCCGGACGCCAGGGAGAGGCGAGCGGCCCCCAGGGGTCCCAGGGCCAGGCAGCGCATCAGCAGGCCACCCCCGAACATGCCCAGCGCCACCGAGGGTACGTTCACCGCCCCTGTGCAGTGGGAGGGGGGGCACAGTACAAGATCAATGGGCACGCATTATGAACGTTGATTTGTTAATCCCCCGCACCCCCACTTTGAGCAAGAAAAACACACAAGTGGGGTCACCACATCTACGCCTTTATATAAGGAACGAAACAGGTGGACTTCTCTACAAATCTGGCTGTCGCCTGATGAAGATGGTTGTAATTACTGGCGAAACGTCGTACTCAGATGGTAAATGTTGTGCATTGGCTCTCCAACACACCGGTGTGCTGTACTCGTGACGAATTGGCACGTTCTGTTTACGTGAGAAACCTTAATAATTGGCTGTGTCGGGTGGTGGCGGGTTTAACGACACATTTATATTATTTACGCGATCTAACCCAAAAAAAACCTGTATTATGGAAAAGTTCACTTTCACTTCCCGGGGAAGCTCCCAATTGTCGAGCAAAGCCAAAAACACCGAACGCAGTGCCGAGCGGTGCGCGGCACAGGCCGAAAGCCGTCTATGGCACTGCCGCAAAAACCTGCGCAGGTATTTGAGAAAGGCGGTCGCTTGTCCGAGTGAAAGTTCGGAAAAATCAATAGGATGGATAACATCTGTACATCCTTCCAAATATGGTATCCTGTTTGCAAACGGGATTTCTTTTTCAACGTACATTTCGTGGTTGGCAATACACACCGATTACAGAGCGTTATCATTCTCTCGGCATGACGCTTCTCCCAAAGAACTCTGTCCTGCTCTCATCCGCCTCTTCATTCTATCATTTTGACACGGGGTTGGCCTTCAGCACCAAACTCTGGTGAACCTGCCGGTTGTGTCCCTCTACCAGACAAGGCTCCAAGCAGAGGTCGCAAACGGGTTTTGATTCCTTACCCGTACCCGTACCCGGCCGCACCAGGGTCGCAAACGGCTACCCAGCCGGGTACGGGTAGCCGGGTATCGGGTAGGGTACGGGTATCGGGTACCCGGTTGTGACCTCTGGCTCCCAGCCATCATTCACAAGACTCGAGCCCTGCTGCCCGTTTCCATCGTTGCTAGTGCTTGTCAAGAGACGAGACTTTGTTCTATTAGAGACGGAGATTTTTGTTTACAGCCAAGCACCGCGATTGCTGAATGCCCTTCTCTCGGTCCACGAGGGCATCGGTGTCTGTTACAATTTTTTAAACTGTCTTTACAACAGGCTTTCTCCAGCTTTATGTGAAGCGCTTTGAGGCCCGTGCGAATAGGGCTATAGAGAAAACCGAGTTTATTATTTATCATTATTACATTATCCGTGTGACCGTTGGCGTACTCCATGTGTCACCAGCGGCCGCGTGCCTGTGCGTGTCGCCACCCAGCAGGCTGGCGTGCCCATCCATGTACGTATGCACATTTAACTTCTTTCGCGCCGTACGTAGCCAACCGTGTTAACAGGAGGTGCGGGAATCAGAGGTACCCATGAACATGTTCGCCTCGGCCGCCGTTTTGCCAAACTGCTCCTCCATGAACTTGGGCTTAAACGTCACGAACCCGACCAGCGACATGACCTGGAGCACTTGGGAAACGAGTAGAGCCACAACGAGCGGTTGGCAAAGCACCCCGTGCAGAGACACGGCAATCCCTGCACACAGACACTACCGCGTTAGTCAGTGGCGGACACAGCACCCCGTGCAGAGACACGGCGATCCCTGCACACAGACACCACCGCGTTAGCCAGTGGCGGACACAGCACCATGTGCAGAGACACGGCAATCCCTGCACACAGACACCACCGCGTTAGTCAGTGGCGGACACAGCACCCCGTGCAGAGACACGGCAATCCCTGCACACAGACACCACCGCGTTAGCCAGTGGCGGACACAGCACCCCGTGCAGAGACACGGCAATCCCTGCACACAGACACCACCGCGTCAGTCAGTGGCGGACACAGCACCCCGTGCAGAGACACGGCAATCCCTGCACACAGACACCACCGCGTCAGTCAGTGGCGGACACAGCACCCTGTGCAGAGACAAACTCATGCAAAACATATTTACTTGTATATTTGTGTAATATATATTTTACAATTTTTTATACAGCAATGTAAAATAAAGGTAAACACACCACGGCCCGCACGAAAATCGCAGGCCAATTCAGTAACGCGCAATGCCACGGAGGTTACTGTGCAGTGTGGCGCATTGTGGGATTGCTCGTGCAGCGTAGAGACGCAGCAACCGACGAGTCCGCGTTGCTTTGCTCGCCATTTGTGCTTTTTGAGCTTCGGAGGAGAGATTTTTAAAGAAAATTTACCTTTAAGTGAGTCCCACTGCATACCGCTATAAATGCGGGACACGAAGAAAACCATCACACAAACTCCGGTCATCCTCGCAGCAGCTTTTGGATAACCATCGAACAAAGACGGTCACTGCATCGCAGGCTTTCAGATGTGCAGCCGTCTGGAACGCTCTGCTTTGTGATGTTAGAAAACCACCGGAGCTGTGCATTGTTAAATCATCATCTAGATTGAAAAATAATTTCTTTAGAACTGCTTATCACCGTTAACCTCCTTGCCGGTGTTGCTGCTGGTTAGAGTTTGTGAGTAGTAACGAGTCACAGTCTCGTCAAGAAGCGTAAACTATCACCACGTGAACTATCCGGTCATCCTCGCAGGAGCGGCTTTTGGGCCAACCGTTGAACAAAGACCGCTCACACTGCATCGCGCGCTTTAAGATGCGCTTCTGCGGCCGTCTGGAATGCTCTTCCTTCCGATATTAGGAAGCCACTGGACTACTGCAGCTGTGCACTTTTAAATCACCATCTCGATTGAAAACTCATTTCTTTAGAACTGCTTTTTTTGTTTAATTTGTTGTCCTTCCCCCCGCACCTCTGATTAGCACGGTTGGCTAAGTACGGTGCGAAAGAAGTCCACTATACGCACCTCTGATGAGCGACGTGGGAGACGTCGATAGCGTCGAGCTGTGCGACCCTCTCCTGGGGAAGTCCGTGGCACAATCGTCCTTGTCTCCTGTACCACGGAGGCAATGATGATGATGATGATCGCGGGAGGGGTTAAACCCGCTCGTTCTGTACAGACAGCCCTGCAAGCGTTGGTGCTGGGGTGGCAAGATGTTAACTACCTCGCCTGGTATACAGGAGGTCGTGGGTTTGATACGGACCCTGACGCCTGCTGCTGTATATTTGGAGTTTGCATTTCTCTTTCCCTGTGGTCGCGTGGATTTTTCTCCAGGTCCTCCTGTTTTATCCCTCCACATTTAGAATCAACATGCGTTTATGGTACTTTCCTGCTAGAAATGCCCACGCGATAAGGCACTTCGTTGGCCGAGCCATTTCGGAAAAAGAGCTACATAGCTCAGTTGGGGCCTTACTTGGTAAAATAAAAAATAAAGTTTTTTTAAAAAATAAAAAATAAAGTTTTTTTAAAAAGAAAAAATATTTTTTTTTACTTTTCATTCAGTCTGCCAGTCAAACACTGCACCAACGTTCCGTGCCCCCCGCCCCGCACAAGTTGTGATCACAGTGGCACAATCCCAAGTGAGCGGTGAACGTGTCTCCCAAGTGAGGTCACCTGACGTGAGCAGAATGTCCTTGACAGGCATCGAGTACATCTCCGACGATCGTCTCGGCTCCTTTTCACTGCGCGAAACAACGGCGGACAGGGCAGTTGACACACGGATAGCACCGCAGACGCCGTTACGTGAACGCGTTCAATGCAGCATAGTCATGTGTCTACATTCAATTCCGTTGAGACGATACAAAATATCCATAATACACCTTTAAAATGTTGTGGCTTGGCTCTCCAACACACCGGTGTGCTGTACTAGTAACGATTTGGCACGTTATGTTTACTTGACAAACCTTACTAAATTTCGATTTAAAGCTTTCGTGACTGCAGGGATTCATCTTCTTGGTTCTTTCGGTAAAGTCACGTAGAATGGAAATAATAAAATAATAAAAATAAAACTATAAAATAATTCTCACGACGTTTCGGCCACAACGCAAGCAGCCGTCCTCAGGTGACTTTACCGAAAGAACCAAGAAGATAAACCTTAATAATTGGCTGTAATTGGCTGTGTCGGGTGGTGGCGGGTTTAACGACACATTTATATATTTACGCGATCTAACCCAAAAAAACCTGCATTATGGATATCTGTCGCGACAGCCTACGTGTTAAATACAACATATATGTATAAATTTTGTATTCATTTGGAGAGCTCATGGTTCATCCTAAACCGCATCCGCACAAACCGGGGGCAGTCGATGCGAATACTTGATGCACGCACACACACACAAAGAGCAGTTCCAGAGAGACCGAGTTTTCGATCTTGATTCAAGAGTATCTGTCCTCACCGAGGGAGGTTGCGCGGAAAAGCCCAGAAGGGCAGCGAGGCGAGCAGGCTGAGAGCGCCGGCGACGAGGAAACCGAGCCACCAGGCACCCACCCAGCGCTTGTCCTGCACTTGCATGGACACCCAGTCTGACAGCACCAAGGCGTGCGGCGGGCACAACACGGCGTCCGCCGGCGTGAGCTTCACGTCCAGCTGAGACGGCGTGGCGGCTACCGCCACTGCGCACGTGGGCTGCCTTTAAACCAGCGCTGTGGAGGCAGCAGCGAGGGATGGCGGATCGCTAGGAGGTGGTGCTGTAGCCTAGGTCGCTGTACGGCAATAATTGGGGACTCCGCCTGTTCTATCTGTATGGCAGAGGTTGCAAACGGGTTTTGATTCCTTACCCGTACCCGGCCGCACCAGGGTTGCAAACGGGTACCCGTACCTGGCCGTGCCCCCGTACCCGGCCGTGCCCGTACCCTCCCCGTACCCGGGTATCGGGTACCTGATTGCGACCTCTGGGATGAAGCCATGTTGCAGGCGCGGGTGGGTTGATTCTAGGAACTTGAAATGTGAGAAGAGACAAGACGTTGGGAAATGAGTGACAAACGGTGACTCACCAGTGACTCACGGTCTACTCGTACCCGTACCCGGCCGGACCAGGGTCGCAAACGTGTACCCGTACCCGGCCGTACCCTACCCTACCCGTACCCGGCCGGGTAGGGTAGGGTAGGGGTATCAGGTACCTGATTGCCACCTCTGGGATGAAGCCATGTTGCAGGCGCGGGTGGGTTGATTCTACGAACTTGAATTGTGAGAAGAGACAAGACGTTGGGAAATTAGTGACAAACGGTTACTCACCAGTGACTCACGGCCTACCCGTACCCGGCCGCACCAGGGTCGCAAACGGGTACCCGTACCCGGCCGGGTACGGGTAGCCGGGTATCAGGTAGGGTACGGGTATCGGGTACCCGGTTGGGACCTCTGCTGTATAGGATAGAGCGTTGGCCCTCGCACGCGTGGGTTTTCTCTGGGTGTTCCGGTTTTTCCTCCCACGTGTACAAACCCTCGTTAATTGGCCATCAACGCGTTCCTGTGTAGAGGATCGCAGAGCTTGGGGGGGGGGGTTGTGCTGGCTACCTTCCCTATCCCTTTGTGAAAATTTGACTTAAAACTTTCGTGACTGCAGGAATTCATATTCTATGGTTCTTTCGGTAAAGTCACGTAGATAGACAAAATAATAACAATCTAATAAAATGAATGAAAAATATCACGATGTTTTCATCGCAACACAAGCGGTCGTCATCAGGAGTTACTGCTCACACCTCTGAGGCGTTCTCTCTCTCGCTCAACGCGAGCGAGCGAATACTCCGTGGCAGCGCGTTCCAGGTTTAAATCATCATCATCTCCCGCCGCCAGCGCCGCCGCATACGCTGCTGCTGTGATCGGTGCCGTGGCCTTACGTCATAATTAGCGATGCTCAGTTTCAATTAGCTTGAATATAAAAGTGCTGTGACATGGCGGTACCTTGATAATATACTGTGCAATATATGATCCGTGTTAATCAAATTATCTTCATTTACAAAATGTCATGGGTATCGCTCCCTCGCGTAATTTGTTTTAATATTTTATCGCCGGATGAAACATTTAAGGAATGAAAAAAGCGCGATCCGTTAAAGTAAAAAATATATATTTTTAAAAAATCGATTATCAAATAAAGACCCACCAAACATGCAACGTTGGGCCAAGGTTGGTTGTCGTTGGATTAACGTTGGTGCGCTTAGGGGCCGTCCATAAATGACGTCACGCGATTTTGGAAGATTTTTGACCCCCCCCCCCGCCTTCGTCACACGGCGTCACAAAAAGTCAGACCCCCCCCTCAAATATGACGTCACAAAGCTCTGCCCCCCCCTCCCAAATAAACCATGCTTCAAATCGCTTTAAACTATTGTCATTGTAGTGCGTATTTAATGTGGCGCTGCACTCTGATGTTGTTGGAGAAAACATTTATTAAAAAGTCTATTTAATTAATACTATTTCGTTCTTTCGATAAAGTCACGTAGGTATAAATTAAAACAAATCACGACGTTTTGGGCGCAACACAAGTGTCCTTCGTCAGGTTAAATAAGTATAACGTGTTGTCTAAAGTTATTTAAAGTTGCGCATTTTGATGTGACATCAAATTTCGCAACCCTCCCCCCTCGTCACACATCGTCACAAATGTCTGACCCCCTCCCCCCTAGGTGCGTGACGTCATTTATGGACGGCCCCTTATTGGGGGCCTGCCGATGCGGGAGGGGGGCTAGGGTGGGGGCGTGCTCAGACCTGGGAAGTTGACGAAGAGTCTGGAGCACAGCGATCCCAGCAGGAATCCCAGCACCGGCCCCACGAGCCCCATCGTGTGCACACAACCTGCAAGCGGCAGCCACCAACCACCCACCACACAAAGACAAAGGTCTCCCCCCCCCGTGTAGCCTTAACAGACTGCTGGGGCAAGTGATGTTAGCGAGTAGCACCTATGAAGTCCGGCATGGCGCACGAGGGGGTGGGTGGCCGCCTTTGTCTCCCCAGTGGCGATGTTTTTAAACACCGCACCAGGTGCTTATTTGAGGCTGAGTCTACCTAAGGGAGGCCCCGGACTGGTTCAGTTAATCGCCACTGGTGTTGGCCGTGAGCGGGAATCGAACTCGGGTCACCAGGTTCGTAACGCAGCGAGATAACCACTACACTACCGCTCCCCCTCGCACAACCATGCCCCACTGCACAACCACCCACCACACAACCACCCCACCACACAACCACCACACAACCACCGACCACACAACCACCCACCACACAACCACCCACCACACAACCACCACACCACACAACCACCACACAACCACCCACCACACAACCACCCCACAACCACCACACAACCACCACACAACCACCCACCACACAACCACCACACAACCACCCACCACACAACCACCACACAACCACCCACCACACAACCACCCACCACACAACCACTACACAACCACCCACCACACAACCACCCACCACACAACCACCCACCACACAACCACCACACAACCACCCACCACACAACCACCCCACACCACCACACAACCACCACACAACCACCCCCACACAACCACCCACCACAACCACCCACCCACAACCACCCACACAACACACCCCCAACCACCACACACAAACCCACCACCAACCACCCCACCACCAAACACTACACAACCACCACCACACAACCACCATCACACACCAACAACCACACACAACCACCCACAACAACCACACAACCACCCACCACACAACCCCCCCCACCCCCCACACCACCACACAACCACCCACACAACCACCCACCACAACACCCACCACACAACCACCACACAACCACCACACAACCACCCACCACACAAACACTACACAACCACCCACCACACAACCACCCATCACACAACCACCACACAACCACCACACAACCACCCACCCACCCACCACACAACCACCCCACCACACAACCACCCACCACACAACCACCCCACCACACAACCACCACACAACCACCCACCACACAACCACTACACAACCACCCACCACACAACCACCCATCACACAACCACCCATCACACAACCACCACACAACCACCCACCACACAACCACCCCACCACACAACCACCCACCACACAACCACCACACAACCACCCACCACACAACCACCCACCACACAAACACTACACAACCACCCACCACACAACCACCCACCACACAACCACCACACAACCACCCACCACACAACCACCCACCACACAACCACCCACCACACAACCACCCACCACACAACAGCCCCACCACACAACCGCCCCACCACACAACCACCCACCACACAACCGCCCCACCGCACAACCGCCCCACCGCACAACCACCCACCGCACAACCACCCACCGCACAACCACCCACCGCACAACCACCCACCGCACAACCACCCACCGCACAACCACCCACCGCACAACCACCCACCACACAACCACCCACCACACAACCACCCACCACACAACAGCCCCACCACACAACCGCCCCACCACACAACACCCACACACAACCGCCCCACCGCACAACCGCCCCACCGCACAACCACCACCGCACAAACCACCCACCGCACAACCACCCACCGCACAACCACCCACCGCACAACCACCCACCGCACAACCACCCACCGCACAACCACCCACCACACAACCACCCACCACACAACCACCCACCACACAACCACCCACCACACAACTAGCCCACCACACAACCACCCACCACACAACCACCCCACCGCATAACCACCCACCACACAACCACCCACCACACAACCACCCACCGCACAACCACCCACCACACAACTAGCCCACCACACAACCATCCACCACACAACCACCCACCACACAACTAGCCCACCACACAACCACCCACCGCATAACCACCCACCACACAACCACCCACCACACAACCACCCACCGCACAACCACCCCACCGCATAACCACCCACCGCACAACCACCCCACCACCCCACCGCCCGTTCAGTCAAGGTAGTTAACATCTCCCAGCCACCGTGACGCGCTCCACCTGCCCCCCAAGCCCCCCCGTGCAACGCGCGTGCCCCGTGCGCGTCTCACCCAGGTAGAAGGCGGAATCCTCGCGGCGGGTGAAGTCGTCCAGGTAGGAGACTCCGAGCGGGGTGACGGGCGTCTCACCCACCCCGCGGAGGATGTTTCCCGCAAGAAGCAGCACCCAGAGCCGGCTGCCCGAGCCTTGCGCGCAGCCTGCTGGCGAGCACGGCGCCCACGGAGAGCCGTCGGCAGAGGTCGCAACCGGGTACCCGATACCCGTACCCTACCCGATACCCGGCTACCCGTACCCGGTGCGACCCTGGTGCGGCCGGGTACGGGTAGGCCGTGAATCACTGGTGAGTCACCGTTTGTCACTCATTTCCCAACGTCTTGTGTCTCTTTTCACAATTCAAGTTCCTAGAATCAACCCACCCGCGCCTGCAACATGGCTTCATCCCAGAGGTCACAACCGGGTACCCGATACCCGTACCCTACCCGATACCCGGCTACCCTTACCCGGTCGGGTACGGGTATCCGTTTGCGACCCTGGTGCGGCCGGGTACGGGTAGCCCGTGAGTCACTGGTGAGTAACTGTTTGTCACTCATTTCCCAACGTCTTGTCTCTTCTCACAATTCAAGTTCCTAGAATCAACCCACCCGCGCCTGCAACGTAGCTTTATCCCAGAGGTCGCAATCGGGTACCCGATACCCGTACCTTACCCGATACCCGGCCGGGTACGGGTAGCCGGGTATCGGGTAGGGTACGGGTACCCGTTTGCGACCCTGGTGCGGTCGGGTACGGGTAAGGAATCAAAACCCGTTTGCGACCTCTGGATGTCGCTGAAAGGGGGTCACGAAGACCCCTGGCGTGGGGGTCACCGCTGGGTTCTGTTTCATTCCCCGAACTGGGGGAGGGCGTCCCAGCCGTGCCCCCCCCCCCCCCCCCGCAGTTACCGTCACCGCTAGTTCATAGTAGAGTCACTGGTAAAGGAGGTCTCATAGTGTAAATGCTTACCCCGAGCTCTCAATACTCTGTAGTGCGCTGTTTTTGAGTTGTACGCCTTTTGGCGTCATCTGGTCCAACACCAATGGAGACTAGAAACGCTGTCTCGGGTGTGGACAAATCAACTTCAAGGACAGTGCACATCATTATCATTATCAGAGTTGTCTCTTTTTTTTAATTTTGACTGCTTGTGTTGTGGTTATTGCAAACATGATGCCTTGTATAAAGGTGTCAGTTTTTTTAATCCTTTATATTAAGTTCGCTTGCTTGCGTGCTTGCGTGCTTGCTTGCTTGCTTACGACCGTGCAAATCTTTCGGTCGTTTTTTAACCCACTTCCCGTGATCCAATAGAGCTGACATTTTCCACACAGACTCGTTGTGCGTGAGAATTAATTTTCGTGAAAATTTTTTTCCAAAATTTTACACTGTTTAGGGAATTTTTAAAAATATTTAATTACCAATTGCTTAATGCTGGCAGACAATCATCTGACCCATAGGTGGCAGCCATCTCAAGCCAGAGGACGAGATGACTCTAGCCGCCACGCATATAAAGGATTTAGAGTGAAAAACTTTGTTTTTACGGGTTAATTTTTATACCAGTTGAAACGGTAAAAACCTATTACTATATTTTGCCACTGGTAAAGGAGGTCTCATAGTGTAAAAGTTGTTTTTTTGTTTAGATTGCGTAAATATATATATATGTGTCGTTAAACCCACCACCACCCGACACAGCCAACTAGTAAGGGTTGTCACGTCAACAGAACGTGGCCAATTCGTCACTCTTACAGCACTAGTGTGTAGTGTATAGTGTAGTGTATAGTAGTGTAGTGTATAGTGTAGTGTATAGTGTAGTGTATAGTAGTGTAGTGTTTAGTGTAGTATACTAGTAGAGCACACCGGTGTGTTGGAGAGCCAAGCCACAACATTTACAATGTGAGTACGACGTTTCGCCAGTAAATACAACTAGCTTCATCAGGCGACAGCCAGATTTGTGGAGAAGCCCACCTGTTTCGTTCCTTAAATAGAGGCGAGGATGTGGTGACCGCACTTGTGTATTCTTCTTGCGTGAAGTGGGGGGGGGGATTAATGAATGCATATAAATGACCATGGGTATCCATTGTAGTTTGAGTTATTTATATATACAGTTATAGCCGACATAGTATTGCTTACGAGTTAAAAACATCCATAGTTATTTCAGTAAGAAAGGAGGCGGGGGGGGTGTCACAGTCTTATCTCGCATACCCCCTGTTGAAATAGGTCGCTGCGGTCCCTGGTCTGGCACACGTTTATACTGGTAGGAACCTCCTGGTTACACCAGCCCACAGGGGATTATTGTGTCCGTCGTGCAGGGAGGGGCTGGGTGGGGAGGGAGGGACTGGGTGGGGAGGGGAGGGTGAGGAGGGGCTGGGTGGAGAAGGTGGGGCTGGGTGGGGAGGGGCTGGGTGGGGAGGGTGGGGAGGGGCTGGGTGGGGAGGGTGGGGCTGGGTGGGGGGTGGGAGGGGTGGGGCTGGGTGGGGAGGGGCTGGTCACCCCGTGGTGCCCTTATAAAACTCAACGTTTAACCTGCTCACGCCGGCTTGTGCCCGCCCTCACAGTCGGGTATATTTGCGGAATACACCACGCCGCCGTTGACCCTGGCCATTGACCGTGCAACCCAACCTTCCTACCAGCTCCCTCCGCAGGAATGTGTTTGATGTACTTGCACGTTGAACTTCTTTCGCGCCGTACGTACGTAGCCCAAACCGCGCTCACCGTACCCGCTGGAGGCGCTCCAGTCTCGGCCGCCGCCGCTGACCGGGACAGGCAATGCGCGGGCAGAGCTCCGGTCGTCCCGTTCGCCTGCGCGTGGCCTTGAGCCTCGTGCTCATTGTACCTGGGAGAGCAGAGCCAACGACAGTGGTGGTGGTGGTGGTCGTGTGGTGGTGGTGGCTGCAGTGCGGGGCCTGTAGCATATGTTTTAAAGGGGCCCTAAATAAATAAATACGTAAATATTAAAACACACACTTTTTTACTTGCACAGTAAAGTCATTGTATTTTTTTAATTTGCTATACAGCCAGATAATACGACAAATCGCTTACCTTAAACACCCAGTCATTCGTAAAAGTCGAAGGCGGTATAGTACTATAGTAATAGAGCAAGTGCAGAATAACTGAACCGGAATTGATAGCTTGAAAGCATTTAGCGCGGGGCCCTTGAAAGTGCGGGGCCCGTAGCTACTTATGTAGCTACTTGTGCTACTAGGATCATCCGGCACTGGGTTGTATGGTGGTTGGCCGACGATGGCGAGGAAACGCAGTGACAAAATTGCCCCGTGGGGGTCTAATAAAAAAACACAGCGTAACCGTATGTATGTTGATGTACTTTGCACGACTGTCATGTTTTTGTATTGTTGTTGTTGTAACGTCGTTACCCGCCCTGACTGGACATCTGTGAAAAAGAACTTTATAGCTCTTCGGATTCCTCCTCCAGTATAAATGTTCTGATTCTGATGTTGAACTTCTGTTGCACCGCACGAAGCCAACCACGTTAATCGAAGTTGCGGGGGGGGGGGGGGGACATCAAACTAAACACAACAACCAGCAATCTAGATGATTTAAAAGTGCATAGCTCCTGTGGCTTCCTAATATCTTGAAGAAAGAGCGTTCCAGACGGCCTCCAGAGGCACATGATGCGGTGTGACCGGATGGTTAGCCCAACACCCGCTGCTGCGAGGATGACCGAAGGGTTCACGTGGTGATTGATCGTCTATTGTCCTCGATGAGGCCGTAACTCATGACTACCGAAACATCGCCAATTACAGGTAGTCCCCGACTTATGATGGTCCGACTTACGATATTTCGATCTTACGATGGCGATATCGATATGACAAAATTGTTAAATATTTTACATTTCACGCGGCAGGAAAACACAGCGGCGTACGAGGTACGATACTGAAACTTTATCATCGTCATCCTTCTCTTCCGACAACTAAGTTAATGTTGCCACCAACAACGACGGACAGAATCTTGGTGAGTACAGCACAATATGATACGTTACGATACGTTCAATGCATGTATACACTACACTATACACTACACTATACACTACATGATTACTATTCATTACACTATACACTACTATACACTACACTATACACTACATGATTACTATACACTACACTATACACTACTATACACTACGCTATACACTACATGATTACTATACACTACACTATACACTACTATACACTACACACTACACTATACACTACATGATTACTATACACTACACTATACACTACTATACACTACACACTACACTATACACTACATGATTACTATACACTACATTACACTATACACTACGCTATGATACGTAGCTTTAGCGATTTCATTTTAGGGTTACCACGATACGATACGTTCAATGCATGTTAAAATATTTTATAGCAGATAGGATTGTTTCCTGAAAAAACTTTATATTAAATTGCAGTTCATATAGGTAGGCTAAGATTTTACCTTGTTTTTTTTACTTTACATTTTACTGTGCAATACAGTATTGTAATTAATAAATACATACAGTATATAGTTTATACAGTACGGTACTGTAAATTGCTCTGTTTTGCTAACATATCACCATTCTTTAAGACTCCTGGGTAGGCGAGGCCATTTTCAACTTATGATATCTTCGACTTACGATGGGGTCGTCGTAACGCATCTCCATCGTAAGTTCCTGTATATATATGTTTGTGTTTATTATTTTAAGGCGGTGTTGTTGACGAGTGCGTTGAGTTGCCTATCACACAGCATCACTGCTGCTGCTGCTGCTGCCAGTCGGTCACATTTGCTCGAGTTTACTTTGGACGGTGACCCAGGGCAAAGAGGGCCACGTTGCAGTTATTCAGCAACTTGCTGATGGGTTTTTTTTTATTGCTCTTGATGACATTTTTCCATCTCGTTTTAAACTCACGCTTTTCTAGCCGGACACTATCGTCATTCATTATTATTTTTAATCCTTTATATTAAGTTCACTTGCTTGCTTGCTTGCGCGCTTACGACCGTGCAAATCTTTCGGTCGTTTTTTAACCCACTTCCCGTGATCCAATCGAGCTGACATTTTGCACACAGACTCGTTGTGCGTGACAATTTATTTTCGTGAAAATGTTTTTTCCATAACTTTACACTTTTTTTGAATTTTTTTTTATATTTAATTACCAATTGCTTAATGGTGGCAGGCAATCATCTGACCCATAGGTGGCAGCCATCTCAAGCCAGAGGACGAGATGACTCTAGCCGCCACGCATATAAAGGATTTATAGTGAAAAACTTTGTTTTTACGGGTTAATTTTTTTCATCATTTATGATTCTTCATCTTCTTCTTCCGTTATCATCGCATTTTCCACACTCACGGCTCCATGAAGAAGTGCGGCAGCGCCATGACGAACGTGCCCGCTGCCATCACGGTGGCGCCGACGGCGATGAGCCGCGGACGGTGAAGCCGGGAGCCCAAGTAGCTCACCACGAGAACCACGAGGAGATTGCCTGCACACGTGGGGGGGCACAACGGTCACGTTCAGCCCGGTTGGCTGGGAAGAGACCCAGGAAGCCGGACGCCAGATCCACCAGCAATAAGCAGGTGGCCTGCATGTCAGAGATGATGGTTGTCAGAGGCGCCACGGTTGGCGAGACGTTAACTACTCTATGAGACATCTCCTTTACCAGTGGCAAAATATAGTAGGTTTTTACCCTTTAAACTGGTACAAAACTGACACCTTTATACAAGGCATCATGTTTGCAATAACCGCAACACAAGCAGTCAAAATGCAAACAAAAAGAAACAACTCTGATAATGGTAATGATATGCACTGTCCTTGAAGTTGATTGGTCCACACCTGCTTGTGTTGCGGTTATTGCAAACATGATGCCTTGTATAAAGGTGTCAGTTTTGTACCAGTTTAAAGGGTAAAAACCTACTACTACAGATGCTAACTACTTCACCTGGTATGCAGGAGCTCGTGGGTTCGATGCCGACCCTGACGCCTGCTGTATATTTGGAGTGTGCGTGTCTCCCTCTATCTCCCTGTGGTCGCGTGGATTTTTTTCCGGGTCCTCCGATTTTCCCCTCCACATTTAGAATCAACATGTGATAAGAGTATTTGGCTGCTATACATTTCCACGTGATGATAAGCCACATTATTGAGCTATCATTTGTGGCAAGGTCACTTTTTAAAAATAGCTATATAGTTCAGTGGGCCTTACCTAGTGACATAAAGTGGATTAGTTTTAGATTGGTGAAAATATTCTCTGGGAGAAGCTAGATGTATGTTTTGATCGGAGGCGTGAGGGGGTGTAATCAATGTGTAATGAATGGAATACAATTGTGGCCATACAACCCAACTATGGATCAAGCAGTAAACCCATTGAGACTCACAGAGATACACAGAGAGACTCGTAGAGATAGCTACATGTACATAGATATACATTAAAGGCAAGCCGCAGCATTGAGATTGTGGCCACGCAACTCAAACTATGGACCCATACAATACACCGCTGAAAGTCTGCGCTCCTTAACAAGAGGAGGAGGAGGAAAAGCGACGGTGAGCCATTGCTGTTGTTATTGCTGTGGTGTGGAGCCCACCCATCTCGAAGCCGCCATCGATGGTGCCTGCGAGAGAACTGGGCAGGGAGAAGCGCCGCTCGATGCTGGTGATGGCGCCCTTCATGTAGGCAGCCGTGAGCGCCTTGCAGAAGTACAGCAGTGACAGGCTGGCCAGGAACGCCTGCCAAAGACAAAGATCCCCCCACCCCTGTGTAGCCTGCACAGGCTGTTGGGGCAAGTGCTGTTAGCGAGCGTCCGTGGAGGCCGGCACGGTGCACGAGGAGGCTGTGTGGCAAGCACTGCGCCCGGTCGCCTTTGTCTCCCCAGTGGCGATATATGCATGTTGAACTTCTTTTGCACCGTACGTAGCCATCAACCATGATAATCGGAGGTGCGGACGTTTTTACATTGCGCCAAGTACTCATTTAATGCTGAGTTGACCTCGGTCGGATATGCCCAGGTCTGGTTCAGATATGTTAAGATAATTTGGCTGCTCTAAATTTCTACGCGATAAGCCACTTGGTTGAGCTATCAATTGTGGCCAGGTCGCTTCTGAAAAAAAGAGCTGTATAGCTCAGTGAGCTTTACCTGGTTTAACACGTAGGCTTTCGCGACCAATATCATCCATAATGCAGGTTTTTGATGGGTTAGATCGCGTAAATATATAAATGTGTCGTTAAACCCACCATCACCAGACACAGCGAACTAGTAAGGTTTGTCACGTAAGCAGAACGTGCCAATTCGTCACTAGTACAGCACACCGGTGTGTTGGAGAGCAAAGCCACGACATTTACAATCTGAGTACGACGTCTCGCCAGTAATTACAACTGGCTTCATCAGGCGACAGCCGGATTTGTGGACAAATCCTCCCGTTTCGTTCCTTAAAAGGAGGGGTAGATGTGATGACAACTTAATTCACCAAGATCGGCGGCACAGCGTGCTCACCGCTAATGCCACTTCTCGTCCACAAACTGCACATTCACGCAGCGAGACCGGCCATGATCTATATCCCTAGCTCGACGAGAGTCTGGGGAAGCCGTCATCATCTCTCACGGCCCCGGCGATGCGGCAGCGGTCCATCTCGCTCCCGTTCACGAGACGGGAACCTCACCTTAATGCTGGCATACCGGGGCAGTTTAGCATCCTCTGAACCTGGGCTTTCTCCAAGCCAGCGTCCCTTCCCCATGATCTGCGTCCTGCAAAATAAAGACCTGAATGTTAATTAACAAAAAAACATTACTCAGGTGGCTGGGTGCCTTGCTGAGATCTTAGCTTCGAATTCGGGGTTTAGCCGCCCGTAATGAGACCGGGTTTTCAAGCGTAAGTGAGTTCGATGGTCTAAGCCCGGTCACCAGTGACCGCGTGCAAATAAACTCCGATCACAATTAAATTTGGCTAAATCGCAGCTTTGAGAATTCAAAACGTCGGTTCGATCGGAATACGACAAACGTGTCTCTGTGGGGGGGGGGGGGGGGGCAAGATTGTCGGTAACAGGGTATTATTGTGTCCGTCCGTCGTGCAGGGAGGGGCTGGGTGGGGAGGGAGGGGCTGGGTGAGGAGGGAGGGTGGGGAAGGGCTGGGTGGGTAGGGTGGGGAGGGTGGGGCTGGGTGGGGGGTGGGAGGGGAGGGTGGGGAGGGGCTGGTCACCCCGTGGTGCCCTTATAAAACTCAACGTTTAACCTACTCACGCCGGCTTGTGCCCGCCCTCACAGTCGGGCATATTTGCGGAATGCACCACGCCGCCGTTGACCCTGCAGGCCATTGACCGAGCAACCCAACGTTCCTACCAGCTCCTTCCGCAAGGAATGTGTTTGTTTTTTACCACGCGGCGTGATGCACTGCTCACTCTGAAAGTCCCGAACGGACGCAACTTCTTGTCGCGAGACACGACACCAATGGCAGAATTATAATTGAATTGTAGCAAAAGGCAACGGATAGACGCATACATATGAACACGCATTTCCTCACCAACTTACACACTCACACACGTATAACACGACACCTGTGATCTGTCACTCACTTAACTGACACATGCAACCTCTCCCTTGCTTATCAACAACCCATACCACGTCAATAAATGACAATGAAGATTTACACAGCGTCCAGTTGTAGCGGCGTAAGTAGCGCAGGAGACGTTTGACGGAGGCAACACGTATTTATTAACAAATGGGTACTATACGGTACGTAGCGCGCCCGAACACTGGAAGGGGTAACGGGCCCCTTCACCCGGTTCTATCCGAGGCAGTGTCCCTCGGCTAACCGTTCCCCGTTAGCTCCTACTACACTCCTCTAACCCAGACCATCCTAGTGGAGGCTAACTCACCTGGCCCAGCTTCGGGTCAGGTGCGACCCTCAGCCACACGAGCCTGGCCCTCACAAGGACACAGACCTCGCTGCTCTGAGGTCGCCCCTGGCTTGCCCTGCTCGGCTCTTACAAGAGCAGCGAGTCAGGGTAGTAGTCCCAGGGCTAGCGAGCTGGTACTCTTAGTAGGTGAGTGAGTGGGTGAGTGAGTAGGTGAGTAGGTGAGTGAGTGGGTGAGTGAGTGACTGAGTGAGTGAGTGACTGAGTGAGTGAGTGAGTGACTGAGTGAGTGACTGAGTGAGTGAGTGACTGAGTGAGTGGTGAGTAACCTGTATGGTGAGTGAGTGGTGAGTGACTGAGTGAGTGAGTGACTGAGTGAATGAGTGAGTGATGAGTGACTGAGTGAGTGAGTGGTGAGTAACCTGTATGGTGAGTGAGTGGTGAGTGACTGAGTGACTGAGTGAGTGACTGAGTGGGTGAGTGACTGAGTGAGTGACTGAGTGACTGAGTGAGTGAGTGGTGAATGACTGAGTGAGTGAGTGGTGAACGAGCTGGTCTTCAGTCTGCACTGGTTCTTCTGCTCCAACGACTGTCTCGAGCTCTCTCCGCGGGCACCAGCCACCGAGCACATTGCAAAGCGCTAAACGTTATCACCATCAAATTAAGCAGCGTGCAATAAATGTATGACGAAATGTCTTCGGCTTATCAGTGTTAAATTCATCGCTGACGTAGTCGGTGCATCTGAGAGGGTCTGCTGTCAAGTGTTCACCACCACCAGCACTATCATCACCACCACCACCACGACCAAAGACAAAGATCACCCGTATAGCCTTAACATAATGTAGGGGCAAGTGCTGTTAGCGAGCACTTACAAAAGCCAGCACGGCACACGAGGGGGTGGGTGGCCAGCAACACGCCCGAACGCCTTTGTTTCCCCAGTGGCGATATTTACATACCGCATAAGGTACTCGCTTGAGGCTGAGTCGATCTAGGGGCGCCCCAGGAACGTTTCAGATAATCGTCACCGGTGTTGACCGTTAGCGATGGCCGGGTTCGTAGCGAAGCGCGCTGACCGCTACACAACCGCTCCCCGAGGTCACAACGACACTCACCCACCACACTGCAGGATCGTGCCGTTTGTTGATGACTGCTCGACGTTTCGTGACCTTGGGCCTGTGCTCAGCAAGTGTGTTCAAAAAGAAAAAATAACTTCACAAACCCGTACACTATGTCTGTAATTGGTAAAGTATTAAGTTATGATTGATGTTCCAAACCACCCAGCTTTGGAAAAGATACACATGGTATGAGATCAATTGAAGGGACCTCAGGTTGTAGTTCTGTGCTAACAGCTACAATCCCACTCCCCATCACCACCACCACTATGCCAATCTCGGTTTAAATTTGCAACAAAATAATAATACAATTACCCACACATTGTTCACGTAGCAATCATTGCCTCCTAGTGGCACCGGGCAAGGTGCCGAGTCACCTCGGGCCGCACAGGGGCAGCTGCGAACAGGGGTCTGTCTCTGAGCTCTGAGATGTATCGTGAAGTGACAGAGCGAAAGATACAACACGCAAGCTCATTCACTCACTGCCACATCCACCGTCACCACGCGATACATGGATGCTGAAAATATTCTCTCACTTACCTTTGTTAAGCACGAGTTGGTCCTCTCCTCGACATCTTCTGCCAGTGATACACTAATTAATTATAAAACCCAACATCACCAAAGACAAAGATCCCCCGTATAGGCTTAAGAGACCGTCGGGGCAAGTCCTGTTAGCGAGTAGCACCGATGAAGGCAAGACAGATAGGCACACATCCATCCGTACACACACACACACAGGCACACCTAAACACAAAGACAGAGATCCCCCATATAGGCTTAACGAACTGTTGGGGCAAGTGCTGTTAGCGAACACCTATGAAGGCCAACGCGCCCACACGAAGGGTGTGGGTGGCCAACATCACGCCCGGCCGCCTTTGTCTCTCCGGTAGCGATATTTACTACACACGGCACCAGATACTAATTTGAGGTTGAGTCGACCTAGATGGAGGCCTAGAACCGCTGGGGATATTCGTCACCGATGTTGAACCGTGAGCGGGAATCGAACTCGGGTCTAGGGGTCAGCGCAGCGCGCTTGACAGCATCTCGCAAAAGCCGCAAATATTCTCACTCACCGACTGCGGGTCACTTCCAGACGTGCCACTTGCCGAAGTTGACACAAAATAAACAACAACGCCAGCAGCACCACGAGGCAACAGCAGCCTCAGCAGCAGCAGCAGCAGCACGTGTTGCTGTGGTTTTGCACGCCCCCCAGCCCATCCCACAAACCCAGAATTATGTTACAAAGTGGCTCTTTCATAGCAGCTCAAGCCTGGCGGAAGCGCGGAACGCAACGTTTTACGCTGCGCTCCGCACGTGTGTCAGAAATGCCACTCGGAGCCGATTATAATCACTCTCACTGTTAGGCAGCACCAAGGCCGTAATTATAATATATATTGGGGGGGACACATCCCCCAAGATTCAAATATGCTCAAAATGTCCCCCCCAATATATTGCTATAACATAGATTTATGTTTATATGATTGTGGTTATACTTTATTAATTCGTAATATCTCTCATTACGTGCAATGAAACAAGTAAAGGTCAAAAAGAAAAAAAACAAAGCAATATAATACAATACACTATTACACATTATTGTGAAAAATAAATAAAAAGTCCGTGAAATTTTTGTTATATTTTAGGCAGGAAATGGCAGAAATTCGTTATCAAATTTTGATTTTTTTTTTCTGAGGGAGGGGGCCCAGACCCCCTGGAAGATTTGGTCCCACCCAATGTTGACTCCATGGCTACGGCCTTGGGCAGCACCCACCGATAACGTCTCCCCCACCCCCCCGACCCCCACAGCCCCGGGCAAGAGGTCTGAAAACCTGCGGCTCCGGAGGCACATGCGGCTCTCTTTAGTGAACCGCTTCGTGACCGGTTTTAAAAAAAAAACAAGTATAACCCGTAAAAACAAAGTTTTCACTATAAATCCTTTATATGCGTGGCGGCTAGAGTCCTCTCGTCCTCTGGCTTGAGATGGCTGCCACCTATGGGTCAGATGATTGCATTGCACCATTAAGCAATTGGTAATTAAATATAATATTTTTGTCCTAAAAAGTGTACAATTTTGGAAAAAAATTTCACGAACATTAATTGTCACGCACAACGAGTCTGTGTGGAAAATGTCAGCTCGATTGGATCACGGGAAGTGGGTTAAAAAACGACCGAAAGATTTGCACGGTCGTAAGCAAGCAAGCGAACTTAATATAAAGGATTTAATAAGAACCGCCGTCTCGTGTTCACCGCGTGCATTGCGGCTCTTGAAATGTTCACGGGGGGGGGGGGGAGAGTTTATTTGTTTGTTTGTTTACCGAATTCGTAAAAAAATGCTCCTATTTTGGTTGTCCCCCTCCACTGGCCAAGCCCCTGAATGTCACACTGCCCACAAGGCCTGAATGTTGGTCCCTTAATTGCAAAGCGTAGAGAAGAACATCGAGAAAACGGAGTCAAAACGGTCGCGTAATATCGAGAACTTTGCGAAGTGCGATGGACTTGGTTGTTTCTGTTACATTTTGGGTTTGGATTAAGTTTTCCTTTCGACGGTGTGAATAGGGAGGGGCGATGGCGCAGTGGTTAGCGCACAGTGTGGTGAACTAACTCTGATTTCCAGGCTACGGTTAACAATTAGTGGCAAGCGATATCCGGACATGTGCTTGGCACCCGCTCTACTATACTCTTAGTTCTTTCGGTAAAGTCACGTAGGTAAAAAATGAAATTAAAATTAATAAAAATAAAACAATAAAAATCACGACGTTTCGGAGGCAACACAAGTCTCCGTCATCAGGTGGGACCGTCACAGCCAGATTTGCTGCATCAAGTGGTGATGCATCAAGTGGTGATGCAGCAAATCTGGCTGTGACGGTCCCACCTGGTGACGGAGACTTGTGTTGCCTCCAAAACTTCGTGATTTATTATTTTAATTTTTATTAATTTCAATTTAATTTTTTACCTACGTGACTTTACCGAAAGAACTAAGAGTATGAATCCTTGGAGTCACGAAAGCTTCAAATCTAGAACCCGCTCTACTGAGCAGCGTGGCGAGGTATGGTCAAACAGCCCTCACGACCGACACGGTGTGGGCGGGCCCCCGTCCAGCAGAGGATTGACAAAGCGGTGTGAAATGACTAAGCAATGTCTGTAACGGGACCCTGAACCATATGCAAATACGGAAACATGAGCTCCTGTCCACAACGATGACATGAGACATCCTCCAGATCAGTGTTCTTCTTTGCAAGGCCCGTGAGACATCGAAGGCCACTGACAATACACAACACGTGAAAACACTCCCCCATCATCATCATCGTGCCGCTGTCAAACCCCAATGGTTTTAAATGTGTGGCGGTCCTCACACTGACTATGTCTTATGGGCGAAGGTGCTTCCCCTCTGAAAATGAGTGAACACTGATACAGACGGTCCTGTGGTGGTGGCACCAATGTCACATTTAAAAAGTCCTGCTGAGGAAGGCAAAGCCACCTCATCACCTCTCCTCCACTTGCCATGGCTCCATAACATGAGTGCATGGTGTGTTGTACATACAGTATTCGCTGCGGAGGCGAGGTGTTAACTACCTCGCCTGGCATGCTGGAAGCTCTTGGGTTCGATCCCGACCCTGACGCCTGCTGCTGCTGCATATTTGGAGAACTACCAGCGACAAACTGGGCCCTGTGGCCGAGCAAAGTCCATCTCATTGCCAACCCTCGAGGGATCGAGGAAGGCTAGAAAACAGTAACTATTAAAACTAGTTGTCTTGTTTTACCAGGTAAAATCCCACTGAGCTATATAGCTCTTTCTCTGAAGCGACCTGGTAACAAGTGATTTCTCAACGAAGTGGCTTATTGTGTGGATAAGTATTACAACCAAATACTCGAAACGACGCATGTTTCTAAAAATGCGGAGGGGGGAAAACGGAAGGACCCGGAGAAAAACCCACAAGACCACGGGGAGAACGTGAAAACTCCAAGCATACAAGCGTCAAGGTCAGGATCGAAGCCACAACTCCCTGTATACGAGGCGAGGTATTTCACATCTCGCCACCGTGGAGCCCCTAGCGTGGCCAAAGCAACGAATTGGGGGCCCTCTTGACAACCGCCACACGACAGAGCTGTCGTGGCTGCATTATGCGAAGACGGAGCGCCCATACAGCGTTACAATGTTCCAGACCGTGAGCGTAACGACGATGTGATCCGGCAAGAGGAGCCGTGATCTACAATAGCCTTGGCGCGTCCGTGCGAGACAAATCAAATATTGGGGCCCCGCCTGATCGATTGCCGCACACCCTGAGCTGATAATGTAGCTACGCCACTGCTCTCGAAGGAACGGAACATTGAAATCTGAATACCATCTTCTTGGTTCTTTCGGTAAAGTCACGTAGAAGGGAAGTAATAAAAATAAAACATAATAAAATACAATTCTCACGTTTCGGCCACAACGCAAGCAGCCGAAACTGCTGCTTGCGGCTGCTTGCGTTGTGTCCAAAACGTCGTGAGAATTGTATTTTATTGTTACATTTTTATTATTTCCCTTCTACGTGACTTTACCAAAAGAACCAAGAAGATGAATCACTGCAGTCACGAAAGCTTTAAATCGAAATCTGAATACCAATTAAATGCGTGGATGTTTCAAAGGATGTCATAAACTTATCGTATTCAAGTGTTCGCACAAAAATTGGCAAATTGTGAATTTTTATAAAAGTATCTTTTTTTTATCTCGAATTTCACAATTGTATTTGGAAGTGATGTGCAAGCGAATTCCTCCACGGGATTACGACCTTCTCTTCGCCACCGTCACCAAGATGCCAAAGCTGCTTACTAATCCGCTTACGCAGCACAGAGAATTAGCCAATGTGGGAACGCGGTTATTTGCCCACGGAGCAAATCACGGCATTGTGACTTTGCCAAAGTGTAGTTATGTAAGTGAAATAATAACATGCAACCGTGCTGGTGAAATGCCAAACTTGGCCACTAAACTTTGTTGGATTAAAGACTTCAAATCTGCATTTTTAAGTACGAAGCACAATTTCCTGTAAAGCTGTAAAAGGTAAGGGTGTGTCCCGGCCAATGCAGCACTTGTTAACGCCACTGCTGCTCGATGTGGCCAAATCTTACACGCAGGCCACACGTGTTGGATGAGGCTGCAGCTCCGATTAGCACGGTTGGCCGCATACGGTGCGTAAGAAGTTCAACATACATGCAGGACCTCGACTTTAACCCACCACGCACAATCCTGATCGACAGAATTGTGCTGTGTTCATACTGCTGGGTGAATAGAGGTAGAGAGGGTCTTAGAAACTCGCCCCGTGATTTTAACTACCGTTGGGAGATCGAACCTGCGATCTCTGGATTGCAAGTCCATTCTACTTAACCATTGCACTATGGCAGCATCTACACCTTGTAGTGCAGTATAAAGGAACGTTTTTACAGTATGGTATAATATACATATCGGTATTGCTTAATATGGTAAAATTATTAGTCAGTTTCCCCATGAAAACCTCCCTGAGCCTCTATACTTTTTTTCAGGAGGGTCCTGCATTGGCTATTCCCATTAAGGAATCGTCATCGGTTTCTTTCGGGTCAGATCGTGTCGAAGTCATGTCGATTTCTAACGATAACCCTCCATAACCTGACAGCGCCAATCAAATCAAGTTGTCACGTGGGCAAATACGCCAAATGCATGTTAATTAAAAACTAACATTGTACCAACAGACCTGAACCAAAATAAATTATTAATCATATTGTTCGTAAAAGCCTTTATGTATATATACATAAAAAAATTATATAGATTTTTTGCCTTCGGATGGTGGAGGAAAACTGAGGAAGCCAACCACGCATTTCAGGGGGAAAACACGAGTCGAGATTGAAAAGTGTGTAAGTTTTGCACGGCACCTATTGAGATGTCAATGAAGGACAATCGAGAAATGTTTTTTATGACCAAATAGTTTATTTTGTTAAAGATCTATTGCGTGTAATTAATGCGGTAGCTTTAAAAACATTTTTCTCCAACTGGTGTCGTGTCGATGAGACTCCACAACACGCTGTTAATGCATGGCCATGTCTGTAACGGAGATGTCACAAGCGCTGACAGGACACGTGATCGTAACGTTGGTTGAAAGCACACAAAGCTCGACACTAAACACACTTGTCATTAAATTTTTTTCTACAAACTGTTGCCGGACACTGCGATAAAAAACAAACGGCAAAAAAGTAAATAAGACTGCTACATTTATAACTGGTAAAGCAAAACGATTATGCGAACTAAAGTTGATTTCTTTACGTGGTATTCAAGGGTAAAGTTTGGAATTATAGCTAAGATTGAGGAACATTTTTTTGATGACTTACAGCCCTTGTCATTCGACTGTTGGATAAACGCCTCCCCACACGTGGATTGGTCGTGGCAGTTTGTCTGACCATACTTCACCACGCCAGTCAAAACAATGTTGGTGGAGGAGTGGGAGTAGGGTTTCTCAGGTCCAGCTCATGTATCACTCGCCAACCGACGTTAGACGGAATCAAACTCGTAGCAACTCGCTATCCACTGCATCACAACTCCACCCTAAGGGCATCACCGCCATCATCATCGGTCACGATCAGGGGTCGGAAACCTGCGGCTCCGGAGTCGGATGCGGCTCTTTAAGGGACACTTCACGAGACGTTATTTTTCTTCTTGGTTCTTTCGGTAAAGTAACATAGAAGGGAAATAATAAAATAATAAAACATAATAAAATAATTCTCACGACGTTTCGACCACAACGCAAGCAGCCGTCCACAGGTGAAGAACAGGTCTGTCGGAAAGACAGCGTCTGACAGACCTGTTCTTCACCTGAGGACGGCTGCTTGCGTTGTGGCCGAAACGTCGTGAGAATAATTTTATTATGTTGTATTTTATTATTTTATTATTTCCCTTCTACGTGACTTTACCGAAAGAACCAAGAAGATGAATCCCTGCAGTCACCAAAGCTTTAAATCGAAATTTGAGACGTTATTTATTAAGGACACATGCATTTAGCAAATTCGAAAAAAAGGTCTCAACTTGTTATCGTGGTTTCCCACCCCTGGTCATGATCAAACGCACTACTGGATGAAGGCCTCTGAGTATCCACTATAATATAAACATTGAGACACAATCAGTCACCACTGTTGAATAAAATTTTTTTGAAAATTACTACTGTTCTTTTTGCTTGATAGCATTCGGTATACTGCTACGATCGTTGCGTAGGATTTCGTGGTTGTGCCGCATGGTTCCCTTATGTGTTTTCAGATCGTGCCACGCGCACAATCCTAATCACAAATCAGAGAGCATTCAGTACCCTTGCAGCGACTCTTACTCAGGTGAGAAACATTTGCAGACAAGATATTGCTGGGAAGACACTAAGGCCCCTTCTTTGTGCTTTCAAGCTGCACGTCACAGCACGGAATCAATGTCCTTGCTATGACTGCAACTTTGCGCATGTTCTGCAGAGAGGTTCATCGCTGCATCTTATTCACGATTATCACTTTACCAAGGTTTTTGTTTTGTAACCACTGTGAGTTTTTTGTGGTTGCGCCGTGCAGCTCTCCGATGTGTTTGGGGGTTGTGCCGCGCGTTGTTCTGCACAATGACGTCCTAGCGCGTGGAGCGAAACGTCGGACATCGGACCAAAAAAAGATGCGGTGCACCGCGACAACGCATTGAAGAGCTCTACGGAAGCAAAATCCCAAAAACCTACGCAGCGGAATAACTTTATGTTCACCAAGCATTCAAACTCACTTGAATTTCTGGTTCTCCCGTGTTTTTTCTGGCCGTACCGCAACATTGATCGGCACGATGAGCCCTAACTGAATTCACTTCCTGACGCTCCCAAAACGCACAACCAGAAAACACATGGGAGAGCTCCTTGTTTTTTCCCGTTTAAAGTTATCATTAACAGAAGCTACAGGGGAAATGTTCAAACTCTTTTTCACGAAGGGTAGAGGCGGAGATCACTTCAACGGCTTCACCCAGCTCGCTGGAAATCCTTCATTTTACTGTGAAGACAGCATAAGAAACATCATCATCATCATGTAGAACTTCTTTCACAACGTTCATAGCGAACAGTAGTAATCAGAGGTGTGAACATCATCATTATCATCGTCTTAAGTGATCTACCCATGGGCAGGTCCAAGGCTCTCCCACTCTATACGATTCCACTGATCCCTCTTCACCTCGCACCACCCACACTCTGCACGGGGGTTCTGTTCAGCAACGACTCGCGAAGTATCGTCGAGGGTGACGACTTCTCCTTGCCTGCCTCACCCCGTGTGTGTGTGTTTAGGTGACTTCAATCACCGGATGCAGTGTTACATTTAAATGCACGGTGGAACACAGGCCGTCACGATGACACTTGTTCCGCGAGCGTTGGGCTTGTGGAAGGAAACCAGAGTACCCATAGAAAGCCCACCAGGCAATTAAAGGGAATATTCAGAGCTCCCCACAGATGGATTTACAGACACATTTATTTATTTACAACGGTTGGTATTTCCAGGCAGTTTTCAATTCAAGTCTAAATAAGGCTCAATGATTCTTAGCCTGAGATCTGACAAGTTGGTCTTTGGAATTTGTTGTTAGGAATGTATTTTGTCTATCTGCTCATCTGTCCCGTTTGCCCTTTTGACATTGCAGTATTTGTTGATATGCGTAGCTTTCACCTTTAATATTGATCCAATTATTAAAAAAAAAAACTTGCAAGTCAGACACCATATTGGCTGCTCAGAAAAATCTAGAGTGCTCGGGCAAGATATCGCTCCAAGGGACGACGGCCAGCAGTTGAAACAAGAGTGGCAGCCAGAGAAAGGAACGCACCCCAACAGCACGTCCATCACGGAGACGGAGTGACAAAATGAGCTCGTGTCCGGGAACTGGAAGGAGTGATCCACCGTGAGATCACGAGCGATGTCCACAGCTTGGGGAGGCCTTCACCCAGCAGCGGAATGATCGTAGCTGACGATGATGATGATGAAATTTGATAATGTATGCATTTTATAAACACTATTTACAACGCAGTACTTACACTTCGGGGTTTCTTGTTGATTTTCCACTCAAATCTGCAACACAATGCGAAAGCAACAAGTTAGAGCCCTTCAATGTCCTCACGTGTTCGTTTCTCATGCAAGAAAAACCTACCAGTTTTTCTTATGCGACTCGAATCACCCCGTAGCTATATGTATGTTGAACTTCTTTCGCACCATACGTAGCCAACCGTGCTAATCGAAGGGGGAAAATGCGATTAGTGTTTGTGGATGACTCTTGCTCATCCATCACGTTCCCCTCCACACACACACACACAAGCGAGGGTTGCCCTACGCGTGACTGTTTTGCCAACCTGCGTGACCACCGCGCCGTCCGTGCGACTCTCGCGGGGGGCTGTACCGCGCCAGCACAGCAGTCGCACACAGCGGTGGCATCAGACCGGACACACCAGTGGCGTACCGGTGCCGTGCTTTGTGCTTCCTCTTCTTGTGGCTGCCGTGCGGGGCAGTGGCTGCCGCTGCTGCCGCTGCTGCTGGAGCGAGCTGCTCTGGCTGGCCGCCATCGCCGCCTCCGCCGTCCGTGGGCTTGGCGGGCGAGTCGCTGGCGGCCTCGGCTTCACCGGGCTCCGGCTCGCACTCCCGCGCCGCCACCGCTTCCTCCTCCACCGGCGCGGGCTTCACCTTCTCCTCCCGGCGCTCTTCCTTCTCGAGCTTCTCTTCTGCGGCAGAGACGAAAGCGATCGTGTCGGTGCTGAAGCGCGCGGCAAGGAGAATGAGGGTCAGGATTTGCATCTAGAGTGGCGCGCTTGCTTCCATTGCTCAGCAATTCAAGGCGCGCTGCGCCGCCAAGGCAACCGCAGGCGGGACTCGAAATTCAATAAATCTAGGAGGAAACCTGGAAAAGCAGTTGCGAGTAGCAACATCATCAATACCAGCTAACATCACACGCCTCACCGAAGAGAAGCAGTTCCAGCCATCTGACGTTGGCTGTAAATCACCACGGCTCCTTACGTTATGGCAAGCTTTGCGGCCACTTCCTGGAGTCGTGGAGTTCTGCCATTATGAGTACGGTACATTTCATTAAAGCGTGTTTTTAAAAAAAGTATTTTTTAATATTTCTTCTTTTATTAAGTTGATAATTTTGTATGGCCCGCGAATGATGTTCTAAATATCCAAATGGCCCTTGGCAGAGAAAAGGTTCCCCACTCCTGCTCCACAGCAATGGATTTGGCTGTGCTGCCCTCTGCTGCCCACCGTGTCGACACGTCCCACAGCAGAGGTCGCAAACGGGTTTTGATTCCTTACCCGTACCCGGCCGCACCAGGGACGCAAATGGGTACCCGTACCCGTACCCGGCTGGGTACGGGTACCCGTTCCTTACCCGTACTCGTACCTTACCCGAAATGAGTGACAAACGATGACTCACCAGTGACTCACGGCCTACCCGTACCCGTACCCGGCCGCACTAGGGTCGCAAACAGGTACCCGTACCCGTACCTGGCCGGGTACGGGTAGCCGGGTATCGGGTAGGGTACGGGTATCGGGTACCCGGTTGTGACCTCTGTCCCACAGTGGGACTTTGGTTTAAAATAAACCCTTCAGATCTGATCAAGGAACAACGAACACTCACTCTTATCTTCCTCTGCTCCATCTTGGTTCACAACTACACCCACAGCCTGTAGAAAAAAGCAGACGCGATACACGTTTTAAAACTTGATTGACTTTGTTGACATATACGAGTGCTATTAGTCAGCATATTTATGTTTAATGTTAATGTTTGAAGCTTGGGCTTTGTAATTTGTGCTTTGTTTATTCTGGAGGTAATCTGCCCACTACATTGTGCACTGCAAGGAATTATGTTTGCAATTCTAGATTTGAAGCTTTCGTGACTGCAACAATTCATACTCTGTGATTTTTTCGGTAAAGTCACGTAGGTAAAAAATCAATAAAATAAAATAAATGAAAACAACTAAATTAAATCATGACGTTTCGGAGGCAACACAAGCGTCCTTCATCAGGTGTAAAAAATAACTCTCGCTACAGTTCATTGCTGGGCCCTTTTTTACACCTGATGAAGGAAGCTTGCGTTGCCTCCGAAAGTCGTGATTTAATTTAGTTTTCATTTATTTGATTTTATTGATTGTTTTACCAACGTGACTTTACCGAAAAAAACAAAATATGTTTGCAATATTTGTAATTCCTCATCGTGATGCAGTTTTCATTGTTTTGACTTTATTATTTTGTATTTTGTCATTTTGGTGACGCATGCCACTCCTGCAAATAAAACTTATCCTGGTCTCTCAAGTCTTGACATTTGAATGGGCATGTTTAGAGGTGGTCAGATAGTTAATGGGGCAAATGAATCCATTCAGAAATCTCACAGAACAGTGCATGTCCCCGAGTGTTAGGGAAGAGCCCACAGTAGCGAACTTTACGTAAATACTGCTGAGATCCCGATAAGTGACCTGGTAGGAGGCACCACTTTCCCACTTGAGAGAAATGCACGAAAGTCAACCCAATAATTTCTCAGACCTGGAATTTAGACAAATTAATTGAATAAAAACAAATGTATTTTTTTTCTTTTAATATGTGCTAATTTGAGTGAGTGCTCCAAAACATAAGAACCCGGTTGAATCATGGATGGTTGAAACCCAGACTCAAACTCATTAAATCAACAGTGGTGGCTCAGTGTACAATTCCCTGAGCCATCCTCTGGCCACCTCCATCTTGAATATCTGTAACTTTAAAATGTTTTTTGAGACACGGTGAACATCAACTCACGGCTGAGGATGTGACGGAGGATTTGCTGAACAATCTCTCTGCCTCTTTAAACCTCCGGCTCTTCCTCTCGACGGGTCCAGAGCCACCCCTGTGCGGCGAGCCAGGGGCACAACAAAAACAACGAAGCACGCGCACACACCAATCTCTTTAAACACACGGCACAAGGAGCATAAACCATCACGCAAACTCCGGTCATCCATCCTCGCAGCGACGGCTTTTAGCTAGCCATCGAACAAAGACCGTCACACTGCGTTGCGCGCTTTCAGATGCACTTCTGCGGCCGTCTGGAACACTCTTCCTTCCAATGTTAGGAAGCCATTGGAGCTTTCCACTTTTAAATCTAGATTGAAAAGTCATTTCTTGATAACTGCTTTTTGTGTCTAGTTTGTTGTCCTTCCCGCCACACCTCCGATCATCATGATTGTCTATGTACGCTGCGAAAGAAGTTCAACATGCATACATACGTCATGCGTTTGTTTGAATAACATCCACACCCATTTTCTTCGCAAATATTAAATATATATATATATACGCACACATATACAGTTCAACGCAAAATTGTATAGTAGACAACTCAACATAATCATCCAAGTCATTGAGAATATAAACAAAATAGAGAAATATGCACTCCAAGAAGGCCATGTTGCTTTTGCGTTATATAATAAATACTTGTTTTTTACGTGAAGGGACACTGTCTGCTTATCTTCTTTGTTATTTATATTCTCCATGATGACACTCGTGATTGGTTTGAGTTGTGTGTTCATAGGGCAAGGCAACGGTTGGCTGCTGCCTTCCAGCCCATGTCTATGCCTCCTCAGACAATGTCAGTTGCAATCTGCATGGACTACGACGACATGCTAACTCAAACTAAACCTTTATTACGATTATTACGAGAGCACACCGAAACCAGGACGGGTGGAATTCATCTGTTCGCAGGCTCTGCTACATCTGCCATCGCCTGTTGGGTGACGCGATGTTAACCATCTCACCTGGTATGCAGGAGCCTGTGGGCTCGATTCCGACCCGGAAGCCTGTATATTTAGAGTTTGCATGTCTCTCTCCCCGTGGTCACGTGGATTTTCCTCCGGGTCCTCCAGCTTTTCCCTCCACATTTAGAATCAACGTGTTTAGAGTGATTTGGCCGCTACAAATTTCCACGTGATCAGCCACTTCGTTGAGCTATCATTTGTGGCCAGGTCGCTTCTGAAAACGAGTTACATAGCTCAGTGGGCCTTGACTGGTAACATAAAAAGTACTTTAGCTTAATAGTTTAGTTTAGCTTGCCTCTGGTTGGAGAGGTAGCGGTCCCATCCTCTCACGATGTTGCCATACACCTGCGTGTCCTCCAGGTAGCTCCCCTCAAACGCGTAGATTTGTCGCTCAAGATTTTTCAGAGTGTCCTGTAAAAAAAGACAAAAAAAGAAATCAATTTTAAAAATACAACGGATGCAAACCAATGTAATCGGACACATTTGCTTAGAAAAGTCAACGAGCCTCGTGTCCAGGAGAAGTTCGCTCGAAGGGTCGATGTCAAGTGGGCGACCAACAAGGTCTGAATTGGTCTGTAATAAGGTAGGCACTGATAAGGGGTTGACGGGTATGATGATATAATTTAATGCATTTATAAATCACCTCATGTTACCTTCTGGGACATTGCCACGTACCCCCAAGGGGGTCCAGGTAACCCCGGTTGAGAACCACTGGCTTAAACCGAGCACCGTTTTGGGAGGAAACAGCCAACAATGCTTGTCCTGTGGATGTACCTGTCTCGGTCATAGGAATGTGACATTTCCACCACTGGCTTGGGGCCTAGAAACAGGGGATGGGCACGGCTGCACTTCTCGGTTGAATGTGAAACCAGGGTGGCAGCCGAGGGATGGGACGTGACAGAGACGACGTCCACCGAGAAGGTGGAGTGATGAGGTCAGTTCCTGAGCAGGTGCTCTGGGTGAATAATTAGAGGCGCATTATGAGATGGCTGCGAGTTGAGGAAGCCTTCATCCAGCAGTGGACGATGCCAAACTGGTTTCACATTCAACCGAGAAGTGCAGCCGTGCCCATCCCCTGTTTCTAGGCCCCAAGCCAGTGGTGGAAATGTCACATTCCTATGGCGGAGACAAGCACATCCACATTGTTGGCTGTTCCCCTCAAAGTGGTGCTCAGTTTAAGCCAGTGGTTCTCAAGCGGGGTTACGTGGACCCCCTTGGGGGTACGTGCCAATGTCCCAGGAGGTAACATGAGGTGATTTATAAATGCATGAACATAGATCATCATACCCGTCAACCCCTTATCAGTGCCTACCTCATTACAGACCAATTCAGACCGTATTGATCACCGTGTACCCTTATAAATCTCAACGTTCATCCTACAGTCCCATCACAAGGGAGAAACACAAACAAAGAGGCAAAATATTAATTTTTGTCCATATTGAAATGACTGCCTGCTGTATGGACCTGAAAACTCAATTACTCTGTACAATAATATAGGTAAACCGTACCTGCCAATATAAAATAACTACAACATTTAAATCCATATGGTAACCTAGAATAATATAAAAGACCTTCTATAAACTCGCTGATCGTCAGCAATGTGGGTTTCCAAGCGTAACCAGGGAACGCGCACAAATTACGCCACGCGTGCAGAGCGTCCGTTTAATTTGTTTTATTCGCTTGCAGTTTACTAGAAGATAGTGAGGATACCTCACAAAATGAACAATTGGTTAAAATATTGACGTTCATTATTCATACATTTATTACTTCCGAACCATGTTGGGTCAGGCGAGAGGTATGGGGTATAGGAGCCAAAACAACGTTGAACACTAAAATGGGACCTTTTTGCAAGTATCAAAGTATTAAAAAACAAGAATAGGTTTTACCCCTTTCTGGCAATAAAACAGGTGTTAAGATGTTCAAACGCCAAATAGAAAACCTTTTGCAAAGAATCGAGTCTGCATTAACCATACACGGTACTTGTGCTGAACATGCAAACAAACATGCTCCGATAATATAATAAATGGGCATTGTCTTTAAAACTGATGGCCTACACCAAAGATAGCAGCCTTCTTTATGGCCTAGTCTCACCACCAGTGTCGTCAAAACGCCACAAGGCGGACAGCACAAAGACAATGCACTATCAGAGCATTCGAGGTGAGCAGCTACAAAATGTGACCTTTTTTAGCAGTATCACAGTGTGAAAAAATATGAATAGGTTGAAACAGCTGTGTTTCAGCAGCGGTCGTGAATAATGCCTATTGAGCCACATCCGTTGTAGAGAAACGTGGAGCGATAAAAATCAGCTGACAGGCGAAGGAGGCTCCTCTCTTGATTTCGGTTTCGCGAGATGGTGACGTTCCTGGGGAAGGAAGGCCTTCATCCAGCAGTGGATAGATCCATACCTATTAAGATTGTCTGCTGCCTATCTTATTACAGCCCAATTCAGACCTTATTGGTCACCACGTGCCCTTATACATCTCAACGTTCATCCTACAGTCCCATCACAAAGGGAGAAACACAAACAAATAGACAAAATACTTCATTTTGCCCCTATTGAAACGGCTGCACGCCGTATGGACCTGAAAACTCAACTATGGGGGTCACGTGAGCATGTGGCCAATGATGATGTTGGCCAGAGGTGGTGCTTTCATACTGAACATCTGGCCCTACAGGCTGGTCCAGATGTCTTGCGACCCCCAATTAATTGACACCTAACGTGGTTTCCGCCACCGCCACCCCCCTGAATATTAATTCATGTTTTAAATAAACATGACTTTAAAAAAATCTATTCAGTTTTAGATAATTAAATGCGGTGGGGGGGGGGGTCACAGACATATGGACCAACCCTATCCATCGCTTAACATTCACGTACACTAACATCGTTGGAAGTACGCAAAGTGATAACCCACATAGCCATCATTATACACGCGGCGTGTGCCATTACTCGATTGTAACACAATCTTAACGCATTAAAATACATTACCACAAGCACCGTTATAACCTAAACATTCAAAGTAACGCAGTGTGAAGGCATTCCTTACACAAAGGCCGTAGCCATGGAGTCAACATTGGGGGGGACCAAATCTTCCAGGGTGTCTGGGGGGGTCCCCCCTCCAGAAAAAAATATAAATTTGAAAACTAGTTTCCTACCTAAAACATTTAAAAATTCACTAACACATGGGATGGACTTTTTATGTATATTTTACAATAATGTCTACTAGTGTATTGTATTACATTGCTCTGTTTCAACTTTTTTTTTACCATTTCTTGTTTCATTGTATGTAACGGCAGAGATTAGGGATTAATAAAGTACAACCATAACCACAATCACATCAACAGAAATCTATGCATTGATTCATATGAAGACAAGTCCAGATATTGTGGCCAAGGTTAAGCAAAATTGTTGTTTTTATTTACATAGCATAGCAATTATATTTTTTATAGCAATATATTGTAGGGGGGGGGCATTTTGAGCATATTTGAATATTTGGGGGGATGTGAACCCCCCCATTTTTATTATAATTACGGCCTGGCCTTACACCCACACGTGTAACGTGCTATTATTATACCAACAACGCACGAAATATATTTGCAAATATGACGGGAACTCTTTTTTTTAATTTGCCAGTATCAAAGAAGTTAAAATAGTAATAATAGGCGTTTTATCCTTTCTAGGCGATTAAACAGTAGATGTGTTAAGACGTTCAAACACCAAATATCTACATTTTGTGGTCAATGTAGAGACCAACAAGGTTATTGGGAATTGGCTTAATGCAGTAACTTTGATTCCTTGCAAAAGGTTTATATTTTGGTGTTTTAACATCTTAACACAACTCTTGTTTTTTTGCCATAAAGAGTAAAACCTCTTCTTAATTTTCCATTATCTTTGCAGACAATCACCATGACGTTATTACCAAAGTAGTGCATACATACGATAACAAAACATAATTATTGTAAACCATTATACGATAACGAATCATTATAACTCATTAGTGTGTTATGATGTAGTAGTAACTCAGCCGGTCGCACTCTCACTTGCTATCTCTAGCTATCAATAGTCGATAGCAAGTGATCGATAGTCGATAGCAAGTGATCGATAGTCGATAGCAAGTGATCGATAGTCGATAGCAAGTGATCGATAGTCGATAACATGTGATCGATAGTCGATAGCAAGTGATCGATAGTCGCTAACATGTGATCGATAGTCGATAGCAAGTGATCGATAGTCGATAACATGTGATCGATAGTCGATAGCAAGTGATCGATAGTCGCTAACATGTGATCGATAGTCGATAGCAAGTGAGTGATAGTCGATAGCAAGTGATCAATAGTCAATAACGTGATCTATAGTCGATAGCAAGTGATCGATGGTCTCCACAGTACTCTACAACACCGTACACTGTGGCGCAGTGCACTAAAGCAAAGACAAAGGTCCCCCGTGTAGCCTGCACAGACTGTTGGGGCAAGTGCTGTTAGCGAGTAGCGCCTATCAAGGCGCACGAGGGGGTGGGTGGCCAGCCCCCAGCGGCGATGTTCAACTTACACACCGCAACCAACGTACTCATTTGAGGCCGAGTCGACCTAGGGGAGGCCCGGGATCGGTTCAGATAAATCGTCACCGGGTGTTGTTGGCCGTGAGCGGGTTCGTAGCGCTGACCGCTTACACCACCAGAGGCACCAAGGCCGCCGATTCGTCGTCGTTGCTGTGGTTTTTGTTGTTTAAGGCTGAGTCGACCTAAAGGGGGGAGGCCCCGGTGTGGGAGTCGAACTCTGGAGTGAGACGCAGACCGCGCTCACCGCTGCGCCACCGCTCCCCTCCTCCTACCTCCCCCACACAACGAACGAATGCTACAAAAAAAATCGTCATCGTCACTACTCGCAGCGTTATTGTTGTTCTCGTAATCAACTACGGCCCGGTGTGATGTGGTTGTTGTTGTGGTTGTTGTTGTCTGTGGTGGTTGTTTGGTGGTGTCGGATGCAACTGCGTGGGCTGACCGCGATCTCCTGCTGCCTCTTGACCAGCTCGCTCAGCTCGTGCCTCGTGTCGGGCAGCTGGGGCGAGCCAGAGTTCTTGAAGGCGGCCATGTCGCCTTTGCCTCCTCCTCTTCCTCCCTTCTCCTCGCTCACCAACCTCCTCCCGTGTGCATCACGCGTGGAGGGCGTCCGGGGGGGGGGGGGAAGTGGTGGGGATAGCGAACCCTAGTGGCTGGAGCGCGCTAGGAAATCGTTAACTTTTCACGGTTAAAGATGCCCCCCCAACAAGGTCCCATCCCATCGGTAGTTGGCACGTGGCCACGTGGGCAACGGACCACGGGCACATTTCAGTTGGTGACCACCCGAGTTGGATAAACTTGAGATGTTTATTTGACCAGCAGCTTTAAATTACCACGGTCACATTTCAGTTGGATAGCGAACCCTAGTGGCTGGAGCGCGCTAGGAAATCGTTAACTTTTCACGGTTAAAGATGCCCCCCCAACAAGGTCCCATCCCATCGGTAGTTGGCACGTGGCCACGTGGGCAACGGACCACGGGCACATTTCAGTTGGTGACCACCCGAGTTGGATAAACTTGAGATGTTTATTTGACCAGCAGCTTTAAATTACCACGGTCACATTTCAGTTGGATAGCGAACCCTAGTGGCTGGAGCGCGCTAGGAAATCGTTAACTTTTCACGGTTAAAGATGCCCCCCAAACAAGGTCCCATCATCGGTAGTTGGCACGTGGCCACGTGGGCAACGGACCACGGGCACATTTCAGTTGGTGACCACCCGAGTTGGATCAACTTGAGATGTTTGTGTGACCAGCAGTTTTAAATTACCATGGTCACATTTCAGTTGGTGACCACCCCAGTTGGATCAACTTGAGATTTTGTGACCACCAGTTTTAAATTACCACGGTCACATTTCAGTTGGTGACCACCCGAGTTGGATCAACTTGAGATGTTTGTGTGACCAGCAGTTTTAAATTACCACGGTCACATTTCAGTTGGTGACCACCCCAGTTGGATCAACTTGAGATTTTGTGTGACCAGCAGTTTTAAATTACCACGGTCACATTTCAGTTGGTGACCACCCGAGTTGGATCAACTTGAGATGTTTGTGTGACCAGCAGTTTTAAATTACCATGGTCACATTTCAGTTGGTGACCACCCCAGTTGGATCAACTTGAGATTTTGTGACCACCAGTTTTAAATTACCACGGTCACATTTCAGTTGGTGACCACCCGAGTTGGATCAACTTGAGATGTTTGTGTGACCAGCAGTTTTAAATTACCACGGTCACATTTCAGTTGGTGACCACCCGAGTTGGATCAACTTGAGATGTTTGTGTGACCAACAGCTTTAAATTACCAATCACCTTCACTCACCTCCTCCTGTGTGCGTGGAAGACAATTACTTTCATGGCTTTATTTTGGTCATTTCGAAAAGTGTTTTGGTTTGGCCATGTTTGTTTGTTGTATTACGGAGTTAAACTGATGGCTTTAATCTAAGTTGTCTTGTAGTTGTTGTTTGACTTGCATCCCACTGGGATTTTTTTTCACAGCGTTTGTGTACGCTGTTTTTTCCTGGATTTTTCTGTTTGCGCATAGTCACTTTAAGATGTTTTCTTGTTCATGTTTTTGCTTTTTGTTTGTTGCGGTTGCACCCGATTCAAGAACTGAATGGATCACAGGGCTACACCTGATAATGAAATGAAAACACCGAAGCGAGATAGTGCCCCCTCGTGGCTGGAGCGAGTTATAAATCGTTAACTTTTCACGGCTAAGAATGCCCACAAGGTCCTCTGGAGTTGCCACGCACGTGGGCACGGACCACAGTATTTCATTTGGTGCCACCCGAGATGGATAAACTTGAGGTGTATGTCACCAACAGACTTAACATTACCATTCAAAGTTAATAATGCAATTATCTTACGTAATAAGCATGTTGATGCAGACTGTTTGAAAAGGTTTGAAATGAGTGTAGCCCAAGGGTCATAAAGAAGTGGCTGGTCTAGTGATGTTAACGTGAGAAATCAGCATGTAACTGGGCACGGAAGTAGCTATGATAATGTGAGAGATTAGCATGATGTTAATGTGAGGAATTAGCATGTAACTGGGTACGGAAGTTGCTATGATAATGTGAGAGATTAGCATGATGTTAATGTGAGAAATTAGCATGTAACTGGGCACGGAAGTAGCTATGATGTGAGAGATTAGCATGTTGATGTGAGGAATTAGCATGTAGCTGGGCACGGAAGTAGCTATGTGAGAGATTAGCATGATGTTAATGTGAGGAATTAGAATGTAACTGGGCACGGAAGTGGCATGTTGTATGTGCTGGCTCTCACTTCGCGTGTATAAATAATAATTCACTGTAGAACTAAAAACTTTTTTGTTCCTGCTTATGCCTCAAAAGTACAGAAAATTGATATTCCCCACAAACTTTGCTTTTGTAAAATAATGCAATATCCTATAACACGCATTACCAAATACCACACCATTGCGCAGTCTATTGGAAACAGGGCTTTTCTACATGACCCAACGTATTCTCATAATTACTAGACGCACTTAGATCCCCTCTGTATTAAAATGGGGGTTCGTCTGATAACCCCGTTCTCCTCCCCCCTCAACTTGCATTTAAGGGCTTACATCTTGAATCCTTGCCTCACTTGATGCAGCAAATCTGGTTGTGACGGTCCCACCTGATGACGGAGACTTGCGTTGCCTCCGAAACGTCGTGATTTTTTATTTATTGATTTTTTTTACTAATTTCATTTTTTACCTACGTGACTTTACCGAAAGAACTAAGAGTATAGGTCGTCCAGAATTGAGTTGGGGAGCGATAGCGTAACGGTTAGCTAGTTGCCCTATGAACTTGGCTTCCCACTTATGGGCAACATCAACAACCATGATCTGTACGAGTCCTGGGCCTCCCCTAGGGCGACCCAACCTCAAATGTGTAAACATTGCCACTGAAGAGACAAAGGCGGACCCAGGCGTGGCGTTGGCCACCCACCCACCCGCTCGTGTGACATGCCGGACTTCATAGGAGCTCGCTAACGGCACTTGCCCCAAAAGTTTAAGGCTATACGGGGGATCTTGGCCTTTTTGACCGTGATTGTACATCTTTTTAAATACCTAACACAAGTTTTTTTTTTTTGGGGGGGGGGGGGGGGGTTCGTCTTATTTTCTGAAGCGTTCTTTTTATCCAAAGAATACGGCGCCAATTTGGATGGAGGGCGCGTGTGGTGGGAAAAAAGTGAGTTCACTGAATTGTTCCAAGACGTCCCTGCCATCGTGGACGAGTAAGAAACATCCCGCTGGTGGGCTCTCTTAGAGCTCCCGCTCGTGGAAGCCACTCCGACAGCAGTGACTAGCAGTGTCACAAGTGCGAACATCCATGCGGATCTCACGGAGCAACGCAAACGGCCCGTGTACATGCACCAGCCTTGTATGTTGAACTTCTTTTGCACCGTACGTAGTCAACCGTGATAATCGCAGGTGCGGGTCATGGGATGTATTACTATACATCACCACGCCGGTCATCGCGGACTGCAGGCAGCAGACGTGGGGCCAAATAAGTACAACGAAGATTTGCGTGCAACTGCCCTCTTGCTGCCCCACAAGCTGTCACTGCAGCAGCCTTGTCACGTACATAGGTTACACATCCGAGGACTGATGCAGGCTAAAACCCAGCTTAGCTTTTGTCGAGATCGGACGCAATCCGAATTGATTGTCAGAGGCATAATTGCAGGGCACATGACTGCATCATGTGTGCAAGTTTAATCAAATTGTGCGAAACACCGTGAGTGGTAAACACTGTGAAACTTAGCAACGCAAGAACCATACAAAAAACACATCAACAACAAGCAAATGCACAGTGCAGACAGATGCTATGCGGAATTCCTAAATACTGTGAACTCAGCAAGCCCTTATCGGGGATTATAGGTTTCAATTTACATATATTTTTTTCTCCGATATGACAATTTCACGTGAAAGATTCTAAATTATTGTAAATAGTTTTGTTACGTAAAATATGCTATTTAAAAAAATATAATTTGGTAGAGTCTTCTTGTTTTGGACCATTAACTTTAATAATTTTACCAATTACTGCCCTCCTCCGTGGATCAGAGCACCTCTTTGCTGCTACTGCTGCTAACTGAATGTCGATTCCCCTTACAACAGGCATGGGGGAAGCTTTAATCACTCAGGCCTGAATAGGACTGGCGTGTCACATATTATGAACACACGTGTTATCAGAAAACAATGCGAAACATAACCCGCATCTCATATAAACAGGCTCTTGGCAAGACAGAATTAACCGAGTGAGATCAAATGAGACACACACACACGTGTTGCTAGGTCTAGTAAGTATCCAATTAACAAAACAAACTCACTCGTCAATATAACTACATTAAAATAAAATATCTAAATATAACATTTACAAACAAAAAAGTCACTTCATATAATTTTCCTTTTCATAAGGCAGTTATTATTCACGAATGCGTTGAGTTATTTGTGCTTGTGCACCAGTGTCAAAGCATCGTCACCAAGTAATTAGCACGGCCAAGATTCTCGCGGTCACGGATAATGCGAGTTTTCAGGCCTGTTTCGGAGTGGTTGGTCTCGTGCCCACAGACCCTGTGAAATACAATGTAGCCCACGGACCCGTATATTTCCCACCAAGGCTATAGGTCCTATACTCTGCAGCGAATTTTCAGTGCAGGCTTTACATCCCCTGGTCAGTCAAAAGGCAATCGCCTCAATGGAAATGACTCTTACAACACACGGGGGTGAGGCGCTGCAGAAGGAAATGCCTACAACCGTGCAACGGTTCGTTTTCCTCATGCGTTTACGCAGGTTTTAAATCCCCTCTCAATCACCTCCAATCTAATGGCGATGTGTGCAGTTCACATCCCCTGCGAACGACAAAGCAGTTCGTTGGTTTGATAATCTCAGCAACCCCGCTAGAGGCCACTTTCAACCGAAGTTAACAGAACCTGCACTTGCATTATAATCGCAATCAAACGTGTGTCTGTGGCACTTAACCACTAACATTAAAATTTGTGTTGACGTTGATGATCAAAAATGTAAAAAAATTGTACTTAAGTCATTATTTACCTAGGGAGTTCACACCGAGACCCAGGAGTTTTTTTCACGAGGGTTGTGGATTGATCGGGACGTTTTGCCAGTTCCATTATTAAGTGCTTAGGTTCATGCGGGACAAAACTGTCGTGCCCGGAGAAGAAAAATCATGCATACAAGGGGGTGAACATGAATGAACATGCTCCTGAACAGATACACCTTATTTGTGTGATATTTCTCTAACTGCATCACCTCACCACTGTAGCATAAAAATCCAAAACTTGCATCATATTACACACGTATTA